GCATTGTAATAGATAACGCTCGATTGGGGAGGAGGATAGGACAGAATCTGATGTACCATTATAAGAGGATGTTGGTGATACATCATCCGAGAGATCGAAGTGAGCAGATAGTGAGCCGTAAGGCGGAGATATGACCATTGATTGGATCTCGACAATATCTTCTCGGGTTCGGACGTTTCTTCTCTTCTCCATTTGCCCTGGTATGATGCTTGAACTGTTGGTGCTTAGGCTGACTCTTCTTTCATATTCCAAAAAATGTTCAGAGCTATAGTTTGATTAACTTTTATCTTCATTTGAATTAATTTTGATAGATCGTTCTTTTCATTTCGCACATACTCCCTGATCCATTTCTACCTAAGACAAAATGCGACACCTTTCTTACTCGAGAGTACCTTTCAGTCCAAATTTTACACAACTTGAAAATTCTTCCTGTTCCATATCCCAGGCCCAACATTGGTCACTGTCATTCGATAGACACAAGGGACCAGAATGTATACACTAACAGGGTTGTCACTTTTATTATTTTACCATCAGGTTCCCAAATTGAACCCTTTGGACTCAGAACAGAACAGTTATTGAGATGTAGTAAATTTCTGGAGTAGAGATGAAAATGTCGAAGTATGTGCAATTCCATTGGCTTTTGTGAAGGAATCTGTGAATTAAATTGAATATTGATTCAAATGTATAACGGAATTTCATTTTACTACTTACTTGTCAGTTAATCATTCAACAAATCTGAACTGGATTTTTCAAAATAATAATGTGACGCTATCCATTCAGATAATCAACAGATATTAAAATTTGAAATGACAGCTGAAGATTCGTTTTTATACAGGAACAATAAACATAACTTCCATAGAAACCTACACAAACGTAATAAACATGAGATCAGTCTTATGTTTTCTTTTTATTTTTTTGAACCTTGTCAACAGTAATAACAAAAGTGCCTTTTTTGTATATTTTTCAAGTGTGCCCAGCTGCCAAAATTTTCAAATTGTACCACACTGTATGCAACACACACTTCCTAAGCTAAGAACAAAGAGTTCGACCATAACAAATCAACGGTAGCGTTTACTGCGTTTATGGAAACTTGACTGAGACACCGGCACCGTACAGAAGTAAACACACTGATACTAATAAGAACTATGCCTAGGAATTTGGTCAATAATTTTATTCATTGCAAATAAGGCTATGTAATTATTTTCATTAGTGCCAAGTACTATAAAATTGCAAAATATATTAGAGTGACATTTTTTTTAATATCTTGAGATAATTTTAATAATGAACCAATTTAAAATTGAAATAAGTCATTTATGAAATAAACTTTCATTTGTGTGTATTTTTTTGATTAATTGCATCAATTTTTGTCTGCATAAAAATATTCAGAAAACATTCAGTATATTATAAAATCTTTAATCAAGGTGAAACTATTGATATTAAAGCTTCACACAGTTCAGACTCTAAATTCATGCAACATACATTTTGTAAGTAATATGTCACAAGCACTGAACCATTGAATTTCAATAGGTACATTAATGCACCACGTGATAGAAATCACACGTTAAAAGGCCAGACATCGTTAATCGTAAGCTTGTACAAGTTTCAGCTTTTAAGGGTTGTCGTTATTAGGGGAGCGACAGCAAAATAGGACGAGCTTCCTATGTGTTGTGAAATTTACCTCGAGATTAGGTGCACCTCAGCATTGCCCTTGGTTTCCTTCGTATCCAGGTATCCATGCTAGAGTAATCTTATTTTGGGAACCTAGCTCATTGAGGGCTCCATCCAAGTCGCGAAGAGACTCAATTGTAGTCTGACTGTCTGAGAAAATAGCAATGGTTTTGTTTGCAACTTCTTCCTCATCAATTCTACTATATATACAGTGTTCGATAGCGGCAACTTCTGCTTGAAACACTGTTACCTTATGTCCAAGGTCGAGTGCGATTCTCGTCTTCACTCTGCCTTCATATATCCCAGCTCAAACTCCTTTTAGGGTTTTTGAGCTGTCCGTTTACAAAGTTTCTTCCGCTTCAATCGGTGGACAGTTTTTTCAGTCCTCTCTGCTTTGTGTGAGTTTTGAAGCTTTTATAGAAATTGTACTGCGAAACTGTTGTCCACTGGCATACCCCGTATTGGATTTGCCTGCAGTTCTTTGTAGGTATAGTTTCAGGTTTTCTTCCTGTGCAACTAGCTGATCGGAGTTGGCTCTTGCATCGGTCTGCATGTCATCACTCGGGCTCCTTTTTGAATATAGAAATGCAGTGGTGGAAGGCCACGCAGAACCTCAAGAGCTGCAAATGGGGTCGTTCTCATGGCTCACGTCATACCCAGATATATCAATCTTTGAATTCCACTTTTAGTAGCTTAGTTTTCCCCAAATGCTTGTTCTTGTCCACCATGTTACGACACCATATGTCATTATGGGACTCACTACCCATGTATATAGCCATAGTGTCATTTTTGTGGGCAAATCCTATAGCAGCCTCTCCTGGAGTGGTGGATAGTGGATATCCTCCTTCCTTAGCTAGTTTTCATCTACCGGAAAAGAACGTTTGGGATTCCTCTTCTTTCCAATGAGCTTATGAGTGACTTCGTGTAGAGGTTGTTATAATTCAGAGAGGCAGCTACTGTCATTTTTTGTTTCCTGGAGACTTAGATAGTAGCCTGTTGAAATCGTCCAGTGCTAGATCTATTAATTTCTCAGACTGGTACACATATTGATGAGCACCAATATTTATTTCTTTAAGTGTTTTGTCTCTTATATATCGGTCTAGCAACTTTTCGATGGTTTTTATAAGTAGAACGTTGAACTTATGGTTCGCTGTATGACTAGGGTGTCCGGTCTAGTAAATTGAGTATTTTGGACAGGAAGGCTACTTTCATCTGTTGCCATGCATAAGACGGTTTTTTCTCTATAATATTTCGTCTTTTCGGGTCAATTTTTGGTAGGCACCTATAATTGCCTCGTTTACCTGTTCAACCTTCTCATCCAGGACTTCTGATGTATCCCTTATAATTGTGACTATTTTGTCGAGGGACTCTATGAGTGACCAAAAATGAGAAATAAAAAATAAATTACATACAACAATAATTTTTAATTTTATGTCATTAAAAAAGGAGCAAACAATAAAACCATTTTATATCACTGAAGAAGGCTTAAATATTCGAACACCAATAGTTTTCACAGTACATTTGAAATTCATTAAGATCAGTCTGACACTGTTTCATTATGTAGATAACCGCTGCTGAAAAATTAGAAAAAACAAAGTTGAATAATCATCTACAAATGAAAAATTACAGCTCATGTCTTGATTCACCCCTCAGGAAAGCAAACGACAGACAAAAATAAAAAGACAGCTCAACAACAAAAAACAAATACTCAATATCATAAACTGTAGTTTTTCTATGGGTCAAAAATTGTATAGATAATCAAGAGATTTTACTGATTTATGAGATACAATATTGCTCCCTAATCAACGTATTCAACTGGAGAAATTTTTGCACAATATAGGTGAAAATTGAATTTTTTTGTAAAATTTGTCCATAAACAATTTTTTCATTTCACCTATTTCGGTATTGATATTTACATCAAAAGATATAATATAATATATAATTTGGTGGCTCGTAAATGAAATCAATATGGGAATGATCAGAATAGTACTTATCTATTTATCTTTTGATTTTAATGGAATTATTTTCCAGCAGCTTGACTGCATTAACCTTTCTCGATTTCATATCATTTCTAGAAACATGTGGATTCGTTTTTCGATGGCATTTCAGGTTAGCTTCTCAAATTTCTGCTACCGCAGTTGTCGGTTGATTGGTCAAACCACCAACACTGACATAAAAACTTAGCAAGTTAACTTGGGTGTCACACCAATAGGTGGTTCCACATATGCCTCGCTTGCGTTTACGCAGTTAATTTTATTAAGCACTTTTCTTGGTTATTCGCATTTTGTCTTCAATCGAGGACCGTCTGCCCGGTACTGACGATGCCCAATACGCTGAAACAGCTGTCTACCGGTGGCTCTTAAATTGAAATCAATATGGGAATGATCAGAATAGTTCTTATCTATTTATCTTTTGATTTTCATGGAATTATTTTCCAGCAGTTTGACTACTGGAAAATATTCACATCAAAAGATTTAGAAGAAGCAATATATATATTTCGTTTGGTCGATACGACCAAATATTATCTCAACAATTTGAGTTCAGAAAAAAGCATGTCAATTGAACTAACAATATATACAACAATATCATACATCACTCAAAACCTAGACAACAATAAGTTTCATCAAGTAACGGCCATTTCCATTTAATTAACAATAAGTTAGTTTCAGGGTTATATTCTGACCTCTCTAAAGCCTTTCATTTGGTGAACCATAAAATTCTACTCAGTAAAATTGATTATGAAATATGAGGAGATGGATATGGATATGACATACTTCATTTTATAGAGATAAAACTTGAGTGATTGTAGTCTTCTTAACATAGCCCAACAAGAACTTGGTTTATTGATACCTCAAAACGCGTTTTATCGGAAACAACTTCTTTACAGGTATTCAACTGTTCTAATTAAATATATCAACCCTACCAGTATCTGAATTTAGTATTTGGCATATTTTCGCAGATAACTTCTAATGCTCAGTACAATATCAAACCATTCAACCTTGAGAATATTGACTATTAAGATGCTGGTCTGGCAAAAAACCTGTTGGTTTTCTACTGCTCCATTGATATTTAAAGAATGGAGAAATTTCGATTATAGGACGGAATTATTATAGAGAAATCACTTTTATGATACAAGTAGACATAAGTTACACATTTCATAAAAGCAGTTAATTATTTTTTTCCATAAATTCAATCTACTTAGAATAGGAATTTTGACTAAATTTTTAAAACCCATTCCTTACTATATTTTCGGAAAAGGTAAGAATAACATTTGAATATGAATATTTTTTATATGTGATTTCATTATTAACAGTTTCCATCAGAATATGCAATTATTCTGTTCTAAAAAATCCTTGGCCAATATAAGAAGCAATCAGGTCCGTTCGAGAAAGTAAACCAATTCTATATTTACAAACAAATGTTGCAATCATGTGTATGTCATTTGCTGATAATTTTCGATGATTTATTTCAGCCTCCTTGGATGCTTTACAATATATCTCACTGAAGGCTTGCTTAACTTGGTCCTTTATTTCCTTTTCGAAGTCCACCGATTCTTTTCTCTGAAATAAAATTCAAAAAACATGCTATTAATCTATGGGATCGACAGATGACTCAATCCAAGAATATCAGTTCAAAGCCTTTCGACATCGACCACTACGTGCCCAACGAAATTCGTTCTCTGTCTTTCACTGCAAAGCAGCTAGATGACACCATAATTCAAAAACATAGCATTCGGTATATAATACTAGACAGCGTTGTTTCGACTCTTCAAGGTATCGTCAGTGTGGCTAGGCTGAATCACTAATGCATTGCTGAATTCAACTGTCCTTAATGGACATCTGACAAGGTAAAGGCGATGACCGCCGAGTGAGATTCGTCTCTTGTCTCAGTGAAAGACAGAGGACAAATTTACTTGCCTGTAGTGAGAAGTGCAAGGCAACTGGATTCGTCTTCTTGTGCTATTAATATTATGGGAAAAAATAATGAAACTATAACTCACACGTAAAAATTTGAAATGGCCCTTCTCTATCCTTTCTAGCAATTTCAATAAGCCACAAATTTTCATTTCATCATTTATTTTATGATTATGTTCTACAGCTTGAACGAACATAGAAAAATATTTGTAGGCACTCCTCGCTAAAGATTGTAGTTTCTCTTGATAAACAACATCGACTGAGGGGAGCTAAAATTTTAAGAGTAGAAAAACAAAACAGTAACAGAAAATAATTTGTAACACAACTTACTGTACTTTCATCTTCCTCAATGCTTTTTGAGAAAACATTCGGTTTAGACTTTCTTCGGTTTTTTGTATGGAAAACTTTCTGAATAAACATTTTCATTTTATTTCTCACTATTGATTTTTTACTTAGTTCCGTAGCCTTTTCCAGTTTATCAATGGCGAAGTGAAGTAAATGATTTTCTAGAAAATTCTTGTCTTCCAAGAGTGCAGAACAAATAGTAATTTCTTTTTCGTAAACTTCCAGAAGATTTTCAAAAAATTTTTTGGAAACACTGTTTTCGAATTTTCTCAACTTGTAGTCTAGTATATTACAGTTTGATGAGATTTTTCTTCCTTCATTGAATTCATCTTTAAGTGCAGAAAAGTCATCCAAAACATCGTTTGATGACGAACTTTTTCCATGAATTTCAGATTTCAGATTTTGAGATTCCACTATAGTTATACAATAAGTACTGAAATTCGTAGAACTCAAAAACACCTCGGAATTTAATATTTTTCTAAGCAGTTCTACATCCGATTTAGAGTCTATTTCACTCAATTCTAGACTTTCTACAGACCGACTTTCGGTCACATCAAGATTTCTGTCGTTTTCTTTATGTGGTTCCTCTTCCGTATCATCATCTTTCAGTTGACAAGAATCGTTATCTGCCATGTTTTCATAAATCACTGAAACTTGATTATTCTGAGTATGATCTTTAGACTGTAGAGAGCAATCGAATTTTTGTATTAAATTTATACTCGAATTGTTTTGTGTTACATAATCTGTGGGTTCACTCTCTGCATATTCCTTTTTTTTAGATTCAATTTTTTCTTCCAGAATACTGTCACTCCTGAACCTTATCACATTGAGACCATTTTGTTTTCCAATGAGTACTTCTAGCGGTATTTCTTCATAACCTGCATCCATACATATCTTTGATTTACTGAACTCCGTTACTTTATGAGCATACTCCTGGCACTGCTTCTTCATTTTTTGATAATCTGTGAAAATGTGTGTACTTGAAGTCGATTTTTCTGAATGTAGGTTTTCGTCTGAATGAAACCAGTTCCTACTCTGTGGTTTCATTAGTGCTGCAATATTTGGTTTTTTAAAAAAATTAGGAATAGATAAAAAACTGTGCCTTGATCTTGTACTGGAATAACCGCTTTCCTCGGAACACGGTGCTTCAAAATCGACTTCAATTAAAGAACTAGCCAAAAGAGGTTTGAAACTTGTTTGTGACGTGTTACCATTTAAAGCATATCCCAAAATTGCGTTCACCGGTTTTTTCGGATTCAGAAAAGTTCCAATATTGTTCAGTTTGTCATCAGACTCTATTTGATATAGATAATCGAAAGAGGAGTCACGTTCCCTTAAGATGGGGCAACTCAAGTTACCAGTAATTTCTAGTTTTCTGTCGATGACACATTCTATATTGTCCACATTGTCTCTGTTAATTAAATCTTTTTCATGTTCATTTTCATATGAAGCAATGCTATCGGCGATACTCTCTTCTTTTGAATCAGTAGAGGAGGAGATGTTATATTCTTCAAGAGAATATGAAATGGGTCGATCAAGACGATTCTCATCAATATTCATATTGTTGGATAAATTTTCTGATAACAAATATTTACATATGCAGTCAATGAAAAAAAATGTGTTTTTTCCTGTTAGACATTCATAATTTCTTTGCAATGCTTCACCCGCTTTCATAATGATATTATTACCTTCGCATGATGAATATGAATTGGGACATTTGAGAGCTTTTTGATAAAATTCCCAGAGTTTCAATTGGTGCATTGGTGTTTTAATTGGTGTAAAATTGATGTTTTTTTTTAAATTTCCTTCAAAGTAACATTCAGGAATCTTCGATCTATAACCTGTCCTTGTCAGCGTATTTTCATAATTGGTTTCATAAAAATCACCCTTTTCCACAGTTTTTGCATTTTTTAGGAAATTACCATGAAAGTTATCAATTGTTACAAATCTCACTTCAAACACTTGTGGTGCTAAATTAGTTTTACTTTGTATGCCAGCCTTCCTTCTCATTTTTCTTCGGATTGCTTCATCATAGATTTTTCGTTTTTTGTATGCACTAATATCAGATGTTCTGTAATCCTTTGTTAAAAATAATCGACTACTCTCTCGATGTTCGCTGTTTGGATAGTGGTCTAAAGAATGAGTATTTGATTTTGAACTTGTTTCATATTTAATAATATTGCAATATTTGTGAAGACAAACTAGGCTAGTTATTTTGCTCTCCTCGGCGTCAATATGTGTTTTTCTGAAACTTATTTCTGATTTAGATTTCTTTAACTGTGATGATGCTTTACAGCCATTTAATTCAGATTTTTCTTTCTTCCTAGGTTTATTATCTTCTGATGCATCAAGCACCATATGTTTTTTGCTGATGGGCATTTTGGATTTGATAGATTTTGAATCACAAGAGCCATAAAGATCATGTTCTTCTTTCATATTTTTCAGTGTTTTGGTCCTAACAGAACTAGATTTTAATTGAATATGTTCCTTTCTATCATCCTTGTTTCCTACCACTTGTTCTTGTATCATTTCACGTTTATCCTTTCTTTTTTTATGCGAAACAAATTGGGGTTTATATTCATTAATTGGTTTATGTATTTGGTTGAGCGAACTCTTTTCTTTAGAAATTCTAAAGGAGTTTATTTTAGTTTCAACAGACGTGTCTTTAGTAATTAGTCTATGTGTTTCCGCAGTGTTCACTCCTACAGCCATATCAACTTTTTGTATTTTGGCTGTAGATCCCCACTTTGGGTTTAATAACTGATTAAGAGAACTCGTCTCATCAGAAACATTTAGTTGCTTCATTTTACTATCTAGAGAGGCATTTATTTTTAGTCTGTCTGCAGCCACAATGTTTCTCATATGTTCTTCTGTGGTATTAACTTCTACTGCCATGTCTGCTTTGGGTATTTTGGCTGTAGACACACATTTTGGTTTGAATAATTGGATAGTTGAACTTTTTTCTTTAGAAACTTTCATTTGGCTCATTCTATCTTCACGAGACATATTTTTCATTTTTAACTTTTCATCCTCCAAAGCATCTTTTATATAGTCTTCTGTGGTGTTTACCTCTACTGCCATGTCTATTTTTTGTACTCTGTCTGTAGATATACGCTTTGGTTTGGGTATCTGGCTAAGTAAACTCTTTTCTGTAGAACGTCTTGAAATCATCATTTCATCTTCAAGAGATACACTTATTTTACCTTGCTCTAAAATATCTCTGAAAAGGTTTTCTGCAGTATTTACTCCTAGTGCTAAGTCTACTTTTTGTATTAATGATGTAGATACACATTTTGACTCGGATAAATGATTAGGTGAATTCCCATCCTTATGAACTATCGGTAACCTCATTTTATCTTCAACAACCGGGTCTCTAATTTTTAATAGATGCTCCTCTGGTACATCTTTACTATATTTTTTTGTAGTATCTACTTCTATAGCCATGTCTATCTTTTGTATTTTAGAAGCAGCTACATATTTAGGTTTTGGTAATTGTCCAAATGAATTCCTTTTTTTGAAATTTCTTTGTAGGTTCATTTCATCTTCAACGAGATTTGCTGGTACATCTTCCACATGCTCTTCTGTAGTATTCACCTCTACTGCCATATCCGTCTTCAATATATTGGTGTTGGAGATACACTTGGCATCTTTTTTTGTGCCACCGTCATGTACATTTATACCAATATCATTGGCATCAATTTTTTGAGTAATAACATCTTTTTTATTTCCCAATATATTTGTTGATACATAAGCTTCCTTGTCTCTGATACTATTTTTATCCATCTCCGTACCAATATCACGAGCATAAGTTTCTTGAGTTACTACATCTTTCATAACCAACTTGTTGAGCTTCACTTCATTAGTTTTTCCAGCTGAAGTATATCCCTCGAACTCTTCATGGTAAGATTGTAAATCTTTAGTACTAATTTCTTCATCTTGCTTGCAGGACACTACTTGGACTTCTTTTTCTTCTTTCATGTCGATTTTGAAGACTTTAGCGATTTCAGACTTTTCACGATTTTGATTTTCAATCAAATTGTATATCTTACGTAGCAAACCATTTGTATGGTCCTCATCTATGTTGGTTTTGTCGTTGGATTTCTTACTAATCTCACTGTAACCAGTTAAGTTATCAATTAAACATTTCTGTATCCCAATTTCATTATTAATGAAATATTTTTGGGGACGAAGTGTTTCGAATCCAAAATAAATTTGTTGCAATTTCTGTACGTACTCTTTAACATCAATACCGATGTCATCTTTTTTCGGATAACCCAAGTCAATGAAAGATTTCACATCATCTATTTTTCCAGTGAAAGTGCGACTTTTTCGATCAACAACCGTTTCTGGTGTCCTAGAAGATTCTTGAGATGAATGTTTCTCCACTTCACTAGTTTCAATTGATGATTTCATTAATCCAACTAGAGACTTATAAGATATATCTACATCAGATTTAGAGATAATTTTTTCTTTCTGTTCTTTAGGTTTTTGTGTAGTATTTCTAGTTTTTCTCAGGGTATCATTTGTTAGATCCCTTCTTCGTTTTGGTTTATTGACATTAGTGATGTTATCTCTGTACTTGATTGGAACTTTATTATCTGTTTTTTCGCTGACATTCATTTTATCATTTTTGAAAGGCAAACCATATTTATTTTTCGATCCCATGCCATAATCAGAACTACTACTTTGGAGAACTCTAAAATACTTACAGTCAATTTCCAAATTCAATTTTTTGTGTTCTCCCGATGATGATAGACTAGTCTTTTCTTCGATTATATTATTGAGCTTTGAATCAGCTGAAGTTTTATGTCTTTGCTTCCCTGTATCTCTATATATAATGTTTCTATCTGTGGAACGCTTTGAGAATATATTACTTGGCACTGACGTTTTCTGGTGTTTCTTGTAACATTCAGAGTTGTCGGTCAAACCATGTTGTTTTTTAATTTTGCACATTTCAATATGGCATTCAGAATCGTCTGAAATAACTCTCAAACTGTCACTCACTACACTTTTTCCTTCCGAAGAATTACCACTTTCAGCATAATAATAATTGTTGTCTCTTGAGTATTGATAATAAAGTTTGAACCTCTTTGTTCTCTTTTTTCTTTCTACAGATTCTTCTATTGTCTCAGGGTTCCTGAAATACTTTTTTCTCAGCTGCGAGGGTATTCCTATTATTGAAACTGTTTTACACTCCAAATTTCTTTTGAATCTTTGTTTTGATGGTTTGTTTCCAGATTCCAATAATTTTGCTGGTTCTATCCCCTCCACTCGAAAAGAATTTTCTTTGTGTGGTTTGATTTTCCTTAAATTTTCCTTTGAGGGAGTAGTGCAACTGTCCTTGAATTCTCTATGGTCTACATATCTGTCTACGAGATTTCTTCTAATGCATTCATTCCCAATAGAATTTGATAGCTGCTTTGTACTCGTCATTTTATTATTTTCCACTTTATTAACTTGGCGTGAAGTGTAACAAGGCGAATCTAGTAAATTTTCTTCTACAGAAGAATTTTGCTGATGAAATCGTTTCCAGCTTTTACCTGGAAATTTGTTGGATTGTGATGGAAATTGCGATGTTTCACAATCAGTTTTAACTGGTGAATAGCATGGCAGAGCTTCATAATGTCTTCCTGATGATGTACTATGACGCTGTAAAGATTCGTGCCTTCTATCAACAGGCGAATTATGATGACGAGGGCTTTCAAAATTTCTTTTTTCTCTTGAATTAGAATATTGAGCCATTTCTTCATTTTTACTTGTTGGTGAACATTGTCTAGGATGTTCATGGTGTGTAAAAACTGGTACACTATAGTTAGCAAAAGTATCATGATTCTTTCTTTTGAGAGAAGGACCTTGCAGCATCCCATCATGTTTCATGACTACAGGAGAATTACAGCGAGGAGGAGTTTTACATTTTCTCTCTGGTGGAGAGCTATGTCGTGACGGTGCTGTTACAGAATTACAATTCCTGTCTGCTGGGTTTTGGAAACTTCTTTCTCTTCGAGACATACCGCACTTTTTTTTAGCGTCACCTTTATCTTTGTTTGATGTTCTATGAGACGACTTTTTTCTTGGCTCATGGTGGTGATGACGGCTGTCCTTATTGTAGTCCACATTTGCACCGTGTTCCGCTATTTCTTCTTCTATCGCTCCTTTTAATTTGATTTTACTCTTGTAATTCTGAAGAAGGGTATCTATTTTCTTATCTATCAAACTTTGTATTCTCGTGAAATAGCTTTTCAAATCGTCTTCTATTTTTTCCTGAAATTGTGGTTTTGTTGATGGTGAAATATCTTCGGAGTAATTTTCAACAAGCTTTCTTTTATTCTTCTTGGTTTGAACATTCTTCAGACTGTTGACGCTCATTTTGTAGAGTTTTCTATGTTTTCTATGGTCGGAGCTTGAATTTGGTTCGAGTACAGAATATTTGAAAGGTTTCCTGCCAACAACTAGTTTTGGTCTATTTTTTTTATGATGAACATGAGCATACAAGACTTCTGGTGAAAAAATATGTTCATCAATTTTAGCTCTTTTGTGAACATTTTCTTTCACTACATTTGAATCATTTACTTTGTGTAACTTTTCTTTACAACTTTTCGGGGGAGAAAAGCTTCGAATTGCTTCTTTTGTTGTTGTTTTTTTGAAAGGATTGGCATTTTCAACTTGACAAAATAGTAACTGCTCAGTATGATGTACTACTTCATGTTGGTTCGATTTCTTTTCACTTCTTGACCTGTGCTTATGTTTCCTCACTTCTTTCTCTTCGCATTTCTCCTGTTTCATTGATTTCATACTGTGGGAGTCCTGTTTATGATGAGGATATTTCCTTATTTTCTCAACATGAATAGTTTTTTCTCTTCGCAAGTGTCCTGGTTTCACTTTAGAATTTTGATTGAAATTTTCAGAAGAACGAGAACGATGTTTTTTGATTTTGTTTTCATTTTCCACGTGTTTTTTGGGGTTACTCAGTGAGGTTTCTTTGAACAATGCCTCAGACTCATTTTTTGACCTACCACTTTTTCTCTTAGATTGAATTGATACATTTTCAGGTTTTTCCCTTGATTGCTTACTATGACTTTTGTATTTTTTATTGGTTGAATCTTTTACTTCATCTTTACTGAAATTGTCAGTGTTTTTAGTATTATTTTTTTTCTGTTTTCCAGAACGTGCACTCTTATTGTTCATGTTGCTATCATTGCCAGAACCAAAATATTTCTATATATTACATCACTCTCACCTCTTATAACAAACTTATCCTTCCCTGACAACAAATTTATATTTAAATTCTTTTCATTGATGAAGTGACATACATGATTGAATTGAAATTATGATTTGTAACTTCACGACATTTTGAATGTCAATTTCATAGGCCAGAGAATTTGAGGTCATCATGTGGAAATGATGACCTAAAATGATGTTATATTTCTTAATTGATAGAACATGAGTCACAAAATGTATCCAAATATATATTTGTTTTGAGGGAGGAAAAGTAATTTTTCCCTCATATGGAAATCTCAATTGATCAGACTCAAAAATACAAATTTCCTTTCTTCAAATCCGAGGCCAAAAGGAGAAATAGAGAAAAGAAGGCAGGAGTGGCAGCAACTATAAGTGCACACTCCTCCTCCCCCACTCCACCTCCAACAGCAAGGGGACTTCCTGCGGCGGGGGCCAAGAGCTCCGCCTTGAATAAAGGCAAGGAACCGGCTGCCCCTGCAGGAAAGCTCCCTCACTTGTGCAATTCCACAGAGGGATCCCCAAGAAGGTTGAAGAAGCCGCGCAACAACAGTAATGTCGCTGCACCTTACAAAACCTTCACGGAGGCCACCGTGAGACATCTCAAGGTTGCCAAAGAGAGTGTGTGTTCGGCGAGTCTTGGCCTACACCTGCCAATATAAAGAAGATGTCTCCTAGTGACCTGTCCACCTTCCTGGAAACGACAGGATGGACGATGATCTAGGAGGACAACTCCTCGGGAGGATGTACAATGGGTCACATGTGGCCTAAGTGCTGTGGGTCTACACTCACCCTCCCTACTCTACAGATACAGAACATATATCACAATTCAATTTATTTCCATAAAGTGAAGAGGTACAAGATTCGTCATAAAAACAAAAGTTGTAGAAGTACGACCGATAATACAATTGAACACAATTTATTTATAATTCCAACATTTTTTACACTTTGTCAACAAGATACCTTCTCAGATATTCCAACAACTCATCCTAATATTTTGGTCCGGTATTTTTGGCTTTTTCAAAAATTTTAAGATTTCATTAATTTTCATTTTGGTTTTCCATTGATTTCAAATATTTCGACACCTTCCTAGACAAAGAAAGTCCAAACTTTTTCATGTTATATGCATATTTCACAAGATTCCCACATCTACAATCCATGCCTATAAACTTGAGGGAATTTCTGGGACTTACTGTAAAATCTTAGAGATTCTGTTTTCAAAAATTAAATAATTTGTTTTGTGTTTTGAAGTTCCAAAAAAGTTTTTGGCTTTCACTTTTCTCGAGAGGTACAACTGGTTATTCTCCTACTCATGTCAAAGGTTTTGTTCAATCATCAGTATACAAATTTGGGACAAAAATATGTGGCAAACGATTGATATAGATTATAAACAGAAAGTGGACCATAAAAAAAAACCACATCACACGTTTATTTGTGAGAAAAGTAGAAACCTGTATGAGCTAAGAACTAACAAGGTTTTATCTTTCAACGTGTGACTCCTAACACGGGTCGGAAGATAGGAAGCGAAAATTGATCGTCCGGCCTCGCCGGTTGAACCACCGGTTCACGCAGCGGTCGATTGAGTGAGTGGAGCAAACCACCCACAATAACCTACCAGGCTACCGTCCCACCATTTATATTGGAACTTTGAGATTTATATAGGGAAAATAAAAAAAATATATTGGCTTCTCTAGATTTAAGGATTTTTTCATCAACATCTTTCCTCTATTTTTCAAGGTCATGGCAAAGTCGGACATCTACATTGAAATTAAATAAAAAAAAATACATACCTCTAAGATTTCGTCCGTTAGACATAACATGGGGTGGTCTTTTATAGTCTCTCCTTTCATCTCTTTCATAAGGGCTGTATCTCCTCATAGGAGGTGGTGATGCTCCATATTCTGAATCGTATGGAGGAGAAGGGCTATTTCTATCGTAGGGTGAGAATGCTGAAGTATCAGGAGAGTATCGCGAGTTCAATGGAGGAGGGGAAGACATTCTACCCAACGGAGGGGGTCTGTGATCAACTGGGAACATGGTTGGCGGGGGTGGCAGAAAGGGCATTCCGGGCAAAGGAGGCGGCATGAAAGGTGCACCTGGAGGTGGAGGTAGGAAGTGAGGTGGAAGAGCTGGTAGTGGAGGTGATTTTGTGATGTGATCCCTGCCGCCAAACAATAATTGTGGTGACGCTGCTGACTCGATCGGATGTGGAGATAAAGGTAGTTCTCCATTTTGGTTAAGTGGAGATTGTAATCCTGAAAAAAAGAACAATTATTTTATTTTAGTCTTCAGATTGAAAGAGGCATGTAACATTAAACAACAGATGTGTCAAACTGAATTTTGCAGAGGGAAATATATTAAATTTAAATTAGTGTGTTTTAATACCAACCCAATCATCAGAGACTATCTACGTACAGCATTGTCAAGTTTTTGAGAAGGTATTTCAAAGATATAATCATTCTACGTCCTTCGTATATGGTGATAATAATTTACCAGAGACGAATTGGTCCAATGAAGATATTAAAAGTTTTACTAAACAATTCACAAAGATCCATGCACTTTCTCTGATGCAAAGGTACACAATTCTGAACTGATATCAAAACAACTCTATTACTAATGCAAAAAGTGTCTTTCCAGATGTGTTCGCTAATGAAAGACAGCTAATAAGAGACACTTTGTGAGTCCCCATCCTACTAAATTACTAAATAGGATGCATTATGTGAATTATATATCTTTTTCTATATTTTCTATAGCACTGTTGTAGTAATGATCCATCAGATAATAACTTCCATGCAAAATACTTTCAATTAAAAGCAAACTTTCAAGTCAAATCATGGTTACTCACTATTTTGTGCTCTTTCCTCAACCATAGCCCGTTCCCTCAGTGTTAATCGATTCCTCAATTGAGCAGATTCTTGTCTGGCATCTTCCAATTTTCTTTCCATTTGCCTTGCAGAAACCCAGTTTTCATGAACCTTCTTTTCCAATATGGATATTTGACTTTTCAATTCGATTTCTTGAGATATTATTTCTTGTTTTAAGGTTTCGTTTTGAGATCTGCAATTATTCGTTTTATAATAATATCAATAATAAAAATGACAGTGTCACATTTTGCAATATATACGTCACAAAATGTGGAACACTTATAATTTGTTGACATAAAGACTCACTTATAATTTTCGATTTCTTCCTGCAAAAGCCTGATTCGTTCGGAAGTAGATGTGGCCTCACCTTCTTTCGCATTCCAAATTGATTTATATTTCAATATTTCACTGGAAAAAATATTGGTATATAAATATTGGTATATATCATGATTTTTCAAATTGTTCATTTCAACGATGAAGAATCGTCTAAAAAAAATCGAAATTAAGTGTACCTTAGGGATCTGTTTTTGGTCCACTATCATTTAATATTTACAGATAGATATATATTCATTTATTTCTACAGAGTATGTGTAAATCTTGCAAAAAAGTTGAAAGAAATACTTTGTCCGAGAAATACGTCAGTGAACAAGATTACAAAAGATTAATAAGATACAAAATTTGAATACAACANGGTACGATTCACAATATGATGTCTTCCATGAATCTTAACTGAAATGGATAATTTTTGCAATCTTATTTAATAAATATTGAAAATCCAAAAGCCTAAATAATGAACTTATCTGTCTTCAATGAAAAAATAAATTAATTGAAATTTTCTCTAAATTGATATTTTGAAATAAAATCTCGAAATATTCATCTCTACCAACTACCTACAGCTTAGATAGTGGTAAACGCCCGCCGGAAAACAAATACTTTCCCGGCAAATACCACGCTGGATATTGAATTATATCCGACAGCCATTTATGCAAGATACCTCACTGAGGTTAGTCTCGCAAATGTTTCTCGTTCAAATAGCAGCAGGAACATGCTGAAATCATTCAAGTAGATCACCTACAGACCGGTTTCAAAGAATTACCTCTCATCAGTGCAGGAAAGACCTTACCTAAACAGCAAAGTGCCTAGGACACGAATAACTTCAATACGGCTCGACTGCATGTATGAAACCTTTGTCTAACAGAAAGATTGTAAGTGGGAGAGATGACCATTTCGAGATTATATTTCCAAAAAATTTTTTCTATATATATCTCTCCTCGATAGTCTTCACTTATCCTTAATTTGTTTTCCTGTGTTGATATTACATAGAGTGCTGTACCGGGAATTCTCTTTTTTGATTTGAATCATACACACTCGATATACATTTTTTTTATATTTATATCCTAGACTCGGAAGTCACAAAGATAGCTGTAGCTGTCTACGAGGTAATGCTGGGTGTATTCTAGATCCTAGAAATTCTATGTCTTTTAACTGGAACCACAAACGTGCGGTAGGCTCCTGTTGGTAAGTCTGTTCATATGTGTTTCCGTTTTCAGCAACCAAGTGTTGCTGGATAGCAACTTGTTGCACTTGGATAGCCAGAAAGACGTGTCTGTTGTTTTCCCATCCCTTTTCCAGAGTGCTGTTCCGTGATTTCTCCACTTTCATGATGTGCATCAATATATATCCATTATTTATATTAATATAATTGTTAATTGTTTCTGAACCAAAACAAACTAGAGACAGAGAGTGAGATAAGGGGGAGAGAGGGGGGATAACGATGGGTGAGGGAGAAGGGGGGAAGAGGGAGAGAGAAAGAGAATTCTTTACCGCAATGAAGTTTGCAATATGAAAAAAAAATAAAAAGAACATTGTCAGATGAAACTCACCCTTGTAATTCTTCTTCTTTTTTTTTGAAATAATTGGTCAAAACTTCCAGTTTCATATTAATTTCAACCTTTTCCTTATCAGCTTCCTGGTATTTTATCAAAAGAGAATTGTTTTCTTCCTTAATAATTTCATATTTATTTTCATAAGCTATTTTCGCTGCTTCTTCTTGTTTCAACTGAGCAATAAATCTTTCATTTTCCATTTTGAGCTGTTCATACTCCGCCTTCTTTGATGTAGATTCAAGTAATAAGTCCATAACATTCTCATTATTTTTTATGGATTTCAGTTTACCCAGACTTTCTTTCAATAAATGGTACTCTTTGACTCGTAACTCCGCTTGTCTCTGAGCATCAGAAAGTTGATTTCTCAGAACCTGAACAATAGAAATACATCGGTATCAGAATTCATACCTAATTTAGTTGTATGTCTAATACAGTGGTGAATGTGGCATCTATCTACTATAACAAATTGAAATTTTTTCAAACATTTCCAGAACTTATGAATTTGATATGGTAATTATTTTATCAAAAAATCTACATATGTATGAAAAGTGAAGTTTCCATGTTGAACATACTATTGTTTTTCAAACTACTGAAAAGATAGTGGTTTTTGTAATAATAGTAGTAATAAAAATATAAGAAAATGGTTTCATATATGGTGGAGTGGAGAAATAATATTCAGTTTTGCTATGAAAATAGAGGCAAAAGATATCTTACCTGTATTTCATTATTCAAAATTTCACTTTTCACCACATTTTCATTATACTTTTGTTGGTATGCTAGCAGTTCATCCTGAAGAGAGTTTTGCTGTTGCTCTTTTTCTTTTTCAATTTTCAGAATTTGTTCAACTCTTTCATCCAAATCTTTCTGTAACTCAAGTATCTTTCTCTGGCTTATTTTTGACTCTTCAAGTAATTCAGCATTTTGAGACTCCTTAGTTTTTAATGTTTTGTTGACGCTAGCAATAATATTTTTTTGTTCCATCAACTGCCTCTGCAGTTGCTCGACATTTTCTTGTAATTTTTCACTTCCATTTGTAGCATCCAACATTTCTGCTATAATTCGATTGAGTTCCATTCCAACTTCTGTGGAAGTTTCCAACTCCTTTTCCAAACTCTCGATTTGCTCTTCCAATGCTTCTTTTCCATCTAACTCTTTTTGAAGATCTATAACCTGCATTTCGAGAACTTGTTTTACCTGTTCCAATTTTGCTAATCGTTCAGCCAAAAGATTGTATTCATCTGTTGGTGTACTATTTACATTATTAGAACTATGAAACAATTCTCTTTCCTTGAGTATATCATTCTCTTTCATAATTACAAGGAGTTCCTTTTCCAATTTGTTGATTTTAGAAATCAAAGGTGTCATTCTCTTACTGTTATCCATTGCTAGATACATGAATAAGAATATTATACAGGATACTGCAGTAGTGACAAGATACAAAAATACATCATAGTTGAAACTTAATGTTATATTATCTACAAAACTACTGTCAGCAATTTTATCGCAGTTTTCTACATCACAATAACCTGTATCAATGTGATCAGACTCTCTGCTAGGATTTGATTCCAGAGAATCTAATGAAAGTTGCTCCCCTAAACTCGCAGGAGATGAAACTGGTTCTGATTTCTTTCCAATCTCTTCACTGCCTTTGATTAATGATAAGAGGTTCGCCACTACTCCTTGACTTTCATCAACTACTTCTTTTCTATCAAGTATCTGCTCACCTTTTTGTTCCTCAATCAAAAAAGTTTCAGAATATGAATCTTTGTTTTCCTGAACTATGTTTCCTTCATTTGTGGATTGTTCTGAGAAAAATTTGTCTTCATTATTGTCAATATTGGATTCAGTTGCAGTATATGAATAACCTTCAGCCAACATTTCAGCTACATTGTCAGAAGAAATTTCATTGATTTCTGTCGATGAATCAGAAGGCTCCAATTCAATATCATTTGCAGTAGGATGATGACTTTTCTCTGTATCTTCCTCAGTTCGATTCTCTTCAGATGAATCCAAATTGATATCAATTCCTGATAAACTTTCAAAATTTTCTTTTAAATTTTTTTCATCATGAGATAAAGACACACTGGCAATATTTTTTTCTGGAAATTCTTCAAAAACAAAATCTTGAGCATGCTTTGACGAATCTTGAGAGTTTGAATCAGTCATTGTATTGTTTTCATTTGCGTCTTCTTTTCGATACTTTTTTTCTTCATTTCTTAGTTTATCTGGAGGATATAGAAAATAGTTGTTATTTAGAATAGTTTCCTCTGGTGTCGTATCTTGAATATTATCAGAAACAGCATCTTCATGAGATATTTTTTTTTCTGTAGATGTGCTTGAGTCAAATTTTTTATCATTACTCATTGTTTCCAAATTTGCTGTAACTCCAGGGAAATTTTCAATGAACTGCTCATGTTTTGAATCGCTATTCTCGTTTTTTTCTTTTGGATGAATATCACTCATATTTGAGTTTGGAATGTTTTCTTGGCCATATTGAAGAGAAGGAGAACTACTTTCTGGACTATCACTTATTTTGGTTTCTAATTTCAAAGTGAGGTTTTCTTTTGTCAATTCCTTCCCAATGTCATTTACTGATATATTGTCTGTGTCTGTTGAGTTGTTTTTTTGTAAAATTTTGCTTTCCAACTTCCGATTTTGGTTTTCTTTTGTCAAATCCTCGACATCATCTCTTAAAATTTTCTCTGCGGTAATAACAGTACTTGACAAGTTTGTTTCCTGTATTATTTTGCTTTCTGAATTCAGATTTCTGCTGTCTTTTGTTGAATCTTCAGTAGTAATATTATCTGTTGAGTTGGTTTCATGTGATTTACCTTCTTCACTAATAGGTTCATCTACTGAGTCCTTCTTATCATCTTGTTGCTGTTTTTCCTTGGGATTCTGGCTTATGCTTTTGTCAGTATCACCTACATTTGTTGGTAGTACATCCGATGCTGAGCTATCAGTTTTCTTAGTTATATCATTTACTGAATTGATTGCCTGATAAGGATTTTCAGTGATCCCAACATCTTGAATTGGTTTGGGTACTTCAACGTCAACAGACATCTCTGTACTGGTTTCTAGAGTTTGTTCATCAGTCTTAGTAAACAATTCCTTATCAAAACTTTTCTCAACACTTAACTGAGGAATATCGGGAGTCAACTGACCATCACCACCAGACTGATTCTCAGTTGACGGAATTTCATTTTGTTTTTGTGCTCTTTTATCTCCCTCAGCCTCTTCTCCTTCACCATCATCATCATCACCATCATCATCATCATCATCATCATCATCATCACCATCATCATCCTCAAGACCATCCTCATCATCTTCAGAATCAACGACATCATCTTCAGAAACTGAGGAAAACGTGTCCAAATCTTTCGCAACTTCTGAAAATATATGACGGTGTATTATTTTTCATTTACAGACAATGATTTCGTAACAAATCAGCCACAATTTGAAGATTTGTGCAGTATTTTGCAATAAAATTTTAATTTAAAATTTAAGTTAGGCTGGAACGTATGGTAACACAATATGAAATTTGAAGCCGTTCGTGAACCTGCGATAATAGTGTCCCTCTCAAACACCGGACTGTACACACCCAAATGGCGTGTGTAGAAGAGGGATTATCATTACTATTATTTGTTGTGGCGCTTCAGACACATAACCCCCTTTTAGTGACGTATTTGCTATTTCAATTACAGAGAAACCTGGAACTGTTAGTTATTTGATGATATGCATCGAACACAAGAATGGGCATAGGAGCAACTCACATGATATCTCAGTTATTGGCTACCCATCGAGTCCCAAAAACCCCGTGATAGGAATAAAAATGAATAGTTAATAAAAATGTTATTATCATTTACGATCACATGAATTGAAATAATTCTTTATTTCACAAATAAAATATAATAGGGGCAATGAAAATAAGTAAGCAGTTTATGGGTTACATATGTAGAAAAATACAAAACCCCTCAAGAAGCATGAAACATGTGAATTTGAATAATTGCAATTCTATATAAGCAAATTTTGATGCTTTCCGGAAAACGGATAAAATTAACAAGAAAAATACCGGTTACCATACTACATGTAACTACTCAGTACGGTATGCATTAAAATTTAATTTTTGTTTCAAGTCAGCTTATTTAATGTTATTGTTGAAAAGCTGTTCCCGATTCAAGTTAGTTTATTTTATTGTTAAAAAGTTGTTAATTAGTCTTTTAATGAAGCAGTCAGCTGGACTTATTATTAATCTACAAGGTAAGTAATTTAGTTGAATAATGATCATTATTTTTATCGAATATAATGTTCTTCGTAAAGAATTTTGATTTTAATTCATTATGAAGCACCTTTATAAAACAGAAGAGATAGTTTTTGAAGAGTCTATATACTCATTTGGTAAACTAAATGTTATTTTAAAAGTCTCGTTGGTTTTATTGTCATGTGTTTTTGAAGCTCCATATATCAATAAATATTTATTCTGCTATGTTGTGGTATATACTGATCGATATCAACGGAGAGTTTTGTTCTGTATAGATTTCAGATTATTACCCATTTTCGGCCAATTTTGCTATACGGATTCAAATTGAACCCAAGCGGTGCGTGCGTTGGCGGAAGAACTGGGCGTCAGCTACCATGTGGTTTTTGATGGCTTAAAACGTATTTGAAAGGTCAAAGAGCTCGAAAAATGGGTGTCCTACGATTTGAACGATCAACTGAAATTTTCACGTTTCTAGGTCTGTCTTCTTTGCTTTGGGCAATCAAAACGATCCTTTTTTGGATCGGATCATCATGAGTGATGAAAAGTGGATTCTCTAAGACAACAGGAGATGTTCAGAACAGTGGCTGGACACCGATGAGCCACCCAGCCATCAAACAAATTGAGTGTTGAATTGCATTCCAATAATAGGAGCCATTTTCTTTTTATTGTTTGAAAATGTTGTGTCCTCTACCATGAATTTTCATGTATTATGGAAGTGAACAATTTCACATTTAGAGAGTATTTGATATAGGTATTCATTATGGAATTTTGAATCAACTGATGTAGACCTTTATGTTATAACCATGTATGAATATTTATGGAAATTTAGTGACAATTTTTGAAAGATATTTGATCCAAGATTTTTCAAAACGAGTATCCTGATTATATGGATATCAAATGAAATGGTTCAAGGAGGCAAAATTCAAAATGGCAAAAAACAATTTTGAATAACTGTGGTTTAGCAAAGGTTAGAGATAGTTTTTTGGTGGTGTTTAAGCATATGTTACAAAAATTGAACGATAACACATTAAATGAACTGAACAAACTTCGAAACATATCCAGCAATAACTAAAAAATAATAATTGAACACCATTTTTAAAAATATTGTTTCATATATATTTTAAAAGAAGAAAATTGACTTTCAATTGAATCAAACACATCAGTTATGTGTTATAAAACCATGTGTAGATAAAAAGAATACAATTTGTAACTTGATCCTGTTATAAGGTTTTCTAAGAGAAAAATTACGTTTTTTCCATAAAATGTGTAGATTTTGCGATAATTTTTTATATCATTCCAATTGTGTAATGTAATAAACTGATAGGTGGGTTTTATTGAAAATTTATTTTTTTGTCTTTAGAGCATATATGCTATAGGTTGACTGCCAGAGTAACATTTCATTTTGTGATAAAATTTGTGAAATTTTTATCAATCTCAAAAGATCTCCAAACCAAGGTTTGAAATATTCTCAAAATTTCACTGTTTCATGTCAAAGAATTTAGATATGTGATTCTTGGAGTGTTCAGTAAAGTACAACTAATACAGCATAAACATCAATTTCGTTAATCCAAGCTAACTAGAACCAGACCCATGTGGATTATCAAGACTCAACCTCTAACGGAAGCAAGAAACTCTTTGGAAGGTTCGAAATAGATGAACATTTCAACCTAGCAAACCACTATTATAATATTCATGCAGTCATTGTTCACTGTGATTCTAGCGTTGAATTTGGTCATTATTACGCCTTGGTCAAAGAAGAAACGGACTGGTTTAAGTTTGACGATAGTCGTGTCATGAAGTGTTCTGGTGATGCATTGAATTTATTGGAGCCTCTGGAGACACCCTACATTTTGGAGGACATTGTTAGATCAAGATCTTCAGATGATGTGGTGCTGCAGGTTTTTCCGGGTTTTCCTGCAGCTGAAAAAGCAAATGCGCCACTGGAATCAATGAAGTCGCCCCGGAGCGCCAAATAATTTGTATTGTTGTTTTTATCAAGAGTTCAAATTCATTTATCATCATTCAAATTATTCACATCAATCATCAAAATCATTTTCGATACTATTTTTTTCAACAATGATTAAGTGAATTAACAAAATAACTAACATAAGGGTGGATTCATGTACCCAATGTTAAGTTTTAAATGGCAAGTCATAATAAATTGTAAGCAGTTATTCATCAATTTTCAATGAAAACATTCTATGAAAAGCATATATATTATCTAATATCATCATTCATAATGTCTATGTACAGGAAGTGTAAGTTTTTAGTAGTAACAAATGAAAATATGAAATCTTAAGACTTGAAACGACATAGACTCAGAACTGGGGCCATCAATCCACAGTAAAAACAATGCAAACTTTTATTCTTACCAGATGTTTTAGAGTATTCTTTGTTTTCACTTGGGACTATCGTTGAAAGAACTGAACTCTCAATGGAACTTTGGCTGATGGACTCTGTGAAATCCTTTAATATGGTAGTACCATCAACAATATGAAATGAATTTTTCACCTTATCTGGATTGATTTCTTTTAAGGGATCTACAGTTTGCTTTGATTCCGTATCAACCAAGAAAGTTGGTTTCGAAATAATTTTAATTTCTCGAACGTATTTACTGGGTATGTAGCCCCTCTTTCCATTTATTTCCGTTTCCCACAATATTGTGGAAGAACTATCCTTCTTACTACTAGCCTCCTTACTGAATATCTTGATGTTCTCATTCGATTTGAAAGAAAGTACCTTTGGGTCAGGACTACTATACCTCAAAAGAGTCTTTGCCAAAGATATGGGTTCTGAAAAGTAATGTTCCAAACAATGTTATGGAAATTAGGTTAATAGATATAAAAAAAGTGTACCTTTACAGTCTTTATCCACGCATAATCTCTTGTGTGATATTTCACATCTGGAACTACATAGAATCAACAAAAAATTAACAAAATATATTAACTTAAAACTATACATTTTTGTCAAATTGACAATTGAACCCTAGGCCACATCACTGTTTTTGAAAAAGTGTCGCCATCTGGTGCATCTGGAAATTATATCTAATGTAGTGTTCGAAAAGCTGCGTTCCAATAATTCCGCATATCGCTAACAAAAGTTGTAAAAAATTAACACTGCTCATTTCAACCTCTGATCATTTACGATAAATCGGAAAAAAATTAACCATTTGATCTTAGAGTATGTATGTATGTTAGAGGATGTATCTTATAAATGCATTTTTTCCTCTGTTAGGTTTTGTATGTGTGGGTATAGATATCAGTGTATTTGTTGTTTGGTTAGAAATTCTAACAGATTCAAGATACCCACAAAGGAAATCCTTTGCATGGATATACTTAGTTTCATTTTCTTGTTATTGGTTCGAAATCAATGGATACATTATGTGCTGCTGGTAATATGAAAATAATTAAAATGAAGACTCTGTAGACTCATCAGCTGTATCCGTTCTAGATATATTTGAGAATTCTGGATATATTATCCAATATATCAAACCAATATTTAAACTTTACACTAAAAATATTGGAGGAGAAAACACACTGTTATTCAATACATATACTTAGAAAGTATTTAAATACAACTCAATATTCAAACTACAAGGTATGGTTTTTAAAAATACGTAATTTAAACCCAGCGGCGGCTCGTCAGAGAAGGCAAGGGAGGCTCAGCCTCCCCATAAAATTTGAGGCTATTCATCGCAATAAATTAAAAGACATTGACAAATAATTATGATTATTTTTTTCTAAAAATGCTTGGGTATCATTACTTTACCATTAATTTTTAATATAAATACATAATATGCCCGAAAAAACACTATCACTCACTACGTAGTACATACCACACTGTATCCTGCATCAACAAAACGCACCGCCTATGAATGAATAACTAATAAACTATCAACCCGAAATAATAAATGCCATACGTTGCAAGGGAGCCAAGCCTTCGACCGCTTTAAAAAACACAGGCTCAACGAGACCGATCCAACCAGCGACATACGTCCTGGTTTGTGATTTCAGTTGCAGAAATTATAGCGTCAGAGGAGGCTTGCCTACAGTTGGTCTCTGTTAGTGTACGAATGCGTTTGTTTTTTATTTAATTATTCGGACGGGATACCGTGACGTACCGGGACTAAAAATTATTCCGGTAAATCGTTTTAGTGTTTCTTGATAATATTTGTTATTTGTGTATAAAACAGGCAGTATTATATTATAGCAGTGCTTTTTGGTAATATTTTTAATGTGTTTTTAAAGTGTTTTCTTTCAATTTCAAGGTGTTTTCAGGTTTTCACTCTTCGGTAAGTTTTTTTTCATTCATTATGGATAGGTTGGACGAAATTAAAAAATCTGACGATATAGTCAATTGGTTGCTGACAAATAATTCCAAGTCTTTATCTTATGATAATAAATTTTACATTATTAAAACTCTGGGAAGGCCTCAACTGAATTGGATTTCAATTAAATCGTCAGATAATCGACAAAATCGAGGATTTAATATTAGTTGGTACGATAAATGCGATTGGATAACCGGCTCCATTAAACGAGAAAAACTTTTTTGTTGGCCCTGTGTTTTATTTTCCGTACAAACCGATTACCAAAAGTGGTCTAAAATAGGATACTCCGATTTAAAAAAATTATCTCGTGTTATGGGCAAATATGATTCACAATTTGGCACTTTTTTAAACGGTAGCGTTATTTCGGGCACCTCAAAAACCATCCAAAATGAGCCTATTATAGACAGTGTGGCATGCATTATTAAGGAAAATATAAGCAGCGAGATTGAAAGTGTGTTTTTTTGCATGGGAAATTGATGAAACTACCGATATTACCTGTACATCACAACTTTCAATCGTTTTTAGATATGTCAAAGATGGTAATGTGGTAGAACGTTTTATGGGTTTTCATGATGTTTCATCTGGGCCCACAGCTGACGATTATCCTTTTGCTTATCAAAAAAGAGCTCAGAAATTATACAGAAATTATATTTACGTTTAGGATGCTAAAAACTGCAGCCGCCTCAGAATTGGAAAAAATCTAAATCTATAAGCAGTTTTTCCTTCGCTGATCTCTTTACTTCTAAAATTCCCTGACAGATGTCAAATGTGAAATATGTCAATGTTGTTGATTTACTTCTGAAACATTCGATGTAGTTAGATAATACTGCTTTGTGGATGACAAAGTATTCTCTAACATTAATCTGTTTTGCTAGTTCGCCACTATCCATATTCCTCTTCAAGACGGGTAGCCAAGTACTCAAGTACAATCTATTTCTAGGCTGTTCAATAAAGTTCTCTCCAGATATAAGAAAAAACACTGATTCCTTGAGTTAACGTCTCTTAGAGTATGTATGTATGTTAGAAGATGTATCTTATGAATGCATTTTTTCCTCTGTTAGGTTTTGTATGTGTGGGTATAGATATCAGTGTATTCGTTGTTTGGTAAGAAATTCTAACAGATTCAAGATACCCACAAAGGAAATCCTTTGCATGGGTATACTTAGTTTCATTTTCTTGTTATTGGTTCGAAATCAATGGATACATTATGTACTGCTGATAATATGAAAATAAGTAAATAAATAAATTTATTAATTTCGTAAGAAATATTTCCGTAGATTGGATTATAACAGGGATACCGAGTTAAGTGTTTCAAATGAGTGAGAAAAAATATTAAAAATCCTGGGTGCAAGATATACCAGGCACCTCTTCCTATTGCTTTCAACAAAGAAGAAACTAATTGTGATGCACTGTTTGGGACCTTTGGTGTAGTAATGAATATTACTGAAGTTTTTCCCAACACCAAACCGTTATTTTAACACCTTGACACGTGTCGACGCGACGTGTTGAAATAACGGTTTGGTGTTGGGAAAAAACTCCAGTAATATTCCGAAGAGAAAGTAATACAAATTATGAAATTATGTTATACTTTCTTCTTCAATGAACAAATAATATATTTATTTTCAGCACATAGGGTACACTTAGGGGATTATAGTTGGTAGGTATATAAAAACACGGAACAAAAATATGGAATAATTATGAGTAGGTATAACAATTGACCTGTTGGATACTTATTTTAAACAGAAAGTGAAAGTTATTTACTTCTTTTGTTTACTACTACGCCCGAATTATCGTAAATTACTCCGGACAATGAGATGAATAAACTGACTAGCTCGAGCACAGCGATATGTTTTCTCTTATCAGAGTTAGGGGAGACCGAGTATAGTCTCAAGGGTTGGTTGTCACAGCAGCCATATTGGAAAATTGAATGAACGAAAGAGTTCATCGAACGCAATCGAAGGATCGGATGAGCAATACGCCAATCCTAACCTCACTTCAGTTTACTCTCATACTTTGTGACGGAAATACGTACATTTGTATTTTTCGGACGGCAAAAGTAAATTTTTGCACATTTGTGTCGAGTCTGGTAAGTATACTTAATGAATGAGCTACGTCATTTTCGATTGAAAGATTAGCAAGGGCTGAAAGCCGTTCTTGTGTCATCGAATTCCTCAAATATGTTTTGATAATTTTAAGCCTCGAAAAACTCCTTTTAGCAGATGCAACTGTTACAGGTGTGGTGGCAATAATTCTCAGGACTATTTCGATAGAAGAAATGCAACGATTGCAAGTCGTTGCATTTCTTCAAAAGTCCACTATCACTAATTGCCTTCAATCTTTGTATATTATACATGAAACCAAATATGCTCTCATGATGTTTAAGTGCCTCAAACCTAGGATGACAGCTTGCGCGCACATTGTCAACAATTACATAAAAATAGTTTATTTTGAAATTTTCTTCCGCATTCAATTCTTGAGCTTCATATTCCCCTTCATAATCAAAATGCTTTTTTTTACGTCGTCTTCTGACTTCTTTGAACTGTCTGTCGATATAATTTTCTTCGGCTATTTCTCTCGCTGATATTAGGGATGACTGAAAACCATTTTTTCGATAATTATCGAGCCAATTTGTGAATGCGTCTAGGTGTTGTATAGCAACATCTAAGTGCATGTTTTCACTTTGCCACATTTTACTTATAACATTTATCTTTGTAAGAATGTCATACCATATGACAAGTGAAACTACAGATTCGTAGGTAGTTATTTCCTTTTCTATAGAATGGCATTCACTGACCAACTGACAATCTGTTGTATTTTCTGATAATTCCTTTAAAGCATCACATATATCACTTAGTTGGTATTTAACGGCCTTCACCGAAGCTACCCCGCACTCCCAATCTACTTTCAGAAAGTGGTGTTAGCGATAACGATTTCACATGAGCATTTAAAATAGCCCACCTCTGACTTGAGCCGGCAAACAAAGTGTACAACCTTTGTAGCAAACGAAAAAAAGATTTTGCTTGGACACAAGACGATGCTGCAGCTCCTAGGATGAGATTCCAGCTATGACTCCCACAAGGTAAAAAATAAGCAAGTGGGTTAATTTCAAGAATACGTTTTTGGACCCCACTTTTCTCACCACGCATATTGGCACCATTATCATATCCTTCGCCTCTGCAGTTTTTCTATGATATACCTAACTGTTCTAATTCTGTGATTATATAGTTAGTCAAACTCTCAGCTGTAATTTTTTCGACAGCTAAGAAACCAATAAAATGTTCTTCAATTTCAGCTGTATTTGTATTAAAAAATCTTATAATAATTGAAAGTTGCTCAACACAAGAAACGTCGCGAGTACAATCAAGAATAATAGAGTAATAATTATTATTGATTATTTTTTTAACAATTTGAGTCTTCACGTGACTTGCCAATTATTGTATGAGCTCATTTTGAATATTTTTTCCAAGATAGTGATCAGGAATCATCTTATTCTGTAATTGTTTCTGGTGAAGTCTCAGCACTGGATCAAATCGTGATATTAACTTTACTAAATCTATAAAGTTGCCGATTGTCTCACTCGAATCTGAGTCAGATGTTAACTTTTCTCTACGACCATTGAAGGCCAAATTGTGAGATGCTAAAAAATTTACGATTGCGAGTAATCGTTCTAAAGTATCTCTCCAACGTTGCCTTTCTTGTTCAATTTTCGACTGATGCAAGGAGTCAATAGTGGAACAGCTTTTTAAACCATTCTGTAAATTAATCCATTTCAACATGCAATCCTTGTGCTGTCGAGTAGATTCGTGAGACTTTAGGTAATCACTTGATCCAATCTTTGTATTTTCTATCCCGAATATTCTACACGGAAAGCAGTAAACGGCATCCTTTGTTTGTGAATAAATCATCCAGCGCCTGTCAAGCTTTTCACCGTTAACTAATATCTTATTATAATGATATTCGCTGAATCGCCGTCCATTATCATTTACGGGAAATACATCAACTTCAACCAGGATTGGACCTTTTAATATAATCTCAGTTCGGTCTACATCAGTAATTGTTATGGGCCACAAACCGGGGTCATTTTGATGATTCAGATCATCCATTCCAGCAGTCATAACTGTAGACATAGACTCGGGCTCAAATTCGGGTTCTTGACTGGATAGCGTTGACGGCGACAATGATGTAGTTAATTCATCATCATCCTCGCTGTTTTTACTTGATGACGGCGGCGGCACCCATGATGATGTGGAAGGAATGCTGGACGAGGATTGAGTCACTTTCAGTTAATGAATGTTTTGTAGAGGTTTCTGTTTCTTGATAATCACTTTTTATATATTTATATGAAGATCCACGTAGGTTTTCTTGTACCTGCTTTCTTTTCATAGCTCGTGTCCTTTTTGAACTACCTGACTTAAATTTTCTACCGGCATCACGATCACGCGAACTCATTTCGTAAAACACTAGTTTCTAACTGTAAATGTATTTTTGAATAATCAACAAGTTATCTGATTGGCCAGCGTGAGGAGGTTTGTTTATTTTACCCAATGGATGCAAATATGTGTGGTAATCATGCTTTGATCACGCATCTATCTTTGTTTAGGTTACTTTGAATGAATGAATTAGTTAACTAACTTTATTTTAATCTGTATTTTTTTAAATTTACTTGGGTTGCTGCGCGAGGCCCCGGGCGATTGCCCCGTTCGCCACCCCCTAAGGCCGCCTCTGAGGAGACGTCCTTGTCTATCACGTAGCTTGACCCGAGCCACGAGTTTCAAGTTTCAACCCACATAATGTTAGAAGTTTTTTCGAAAACAGCTCTTACTTTGCCATTGAAGGAATGAACTTTGCAAAAAAAAGTGGCATAGTACTGACAACACACTGTACTCACCGCTTACAACTTTTGGCAGGTCAGTTTAGGGACCTTTGAAAAATACATCAACAACGCAATAGGTCAGTGGATGGTGTATAATCGAGAAAAACAAATGACGATATATGCAATACAAAAAACATATTGCAAAGGCTCTTACATTAGCAGCAACTCCGTCAAATATTCTGGCGGTGTTGAAATACTGTGGAATTTGTCCATTCAATCAGGACATTTCAGGACAACGATTTTATACCACTGTCCATCACAGATAGACCACTTCTGACGATTACAAGCATTGCGGCCTCATGGACTTATAGTTTTGTTATTTGATTTACCAGATGGACGTTATTCATTTGGAGCAAATATGTTTTTTTCTACAAATGAAACACTTTTTTTCTTTTCTAGGATTCGATAAGTTACGTTTATTATTCCACTTTCAATGAAAATATTCATTAGAATATGTTTTTATACCTCTCAATGAAACTATTGGTATAAAAATATTCATCAGCCATAAGAATATCATGAGTTTTAACCCTAAAGACTTCGAGTTTTAATGGACATATATCGTAGGCTATTTACCGTCGACTTTTTGAAACATCAGCAGCCAATTATCTGCAAGGTCACATATTAGAAATACTGCAGAATATTACAGAAAGCTGTCACAACTACTATTAAAATATTATGGAAGCTTTAGAAATGAAATATGGACAACAATATTTGAAATAATATAACGTTATCAATAATCGTAAAATACCCTGCAACGGTACGAGGCAAATATCAAGAGATTGTTTGATTTTTGACTTATTCTCAGCAAACACCACAATAATGAACGATATTGTGGATTAGAGCGCTGGTCTTCTTCTTAATATTTCAAACTTACTCTAGATGTAATCTCATCTTGACAGGCCATCCTAATTTTTGCCGATGTAGCCGGTGCGTCCAATCTGAAGTGAGTTCCTTCGATATTATTTTCTTCGCGAGCTGCTTTGATAGCGTCTCTGATAGCAAATAATGCCGAACTTGCTAGAAAAAGGGGTGGTTCGCCAACTGCCTGAAATAACAAATCAATTTAGATGGAAACATTGCGCTAGAAGCAAGTGGCGGAAATTACTGTTTCTTCCCTAGGAAATGTGAATTGTCAAATTATAGACAATAATTTGAAAGTAATAATTATTCATTGATGTCCGTATTAAACTGCCTGTTACGTTTTTAAAAGAGGATAGTTAAATACTCACTTAAAGACTCGGGTGAAATAAATAATAATTGTATCTGATCTCTCATTTTGAACAAAGGAACCATAATGAAAACTAATAGGTATCTGTCTTTATAGAGAATAAATAATTATTGAAAAATACAATTTGCTGGCAGTGTCAGGAAGGTGTTTGCCAGCCGGACCCCCAAATTATTTTTGCTATAACCACTTTTCAATATTGGAACTAATAACGCTATTTTAAGAACATTGGGGTAGCCTCCAAAAGAAATACACAAGTTTTTAGATGCGCAATTGCTCAGATAAAACATCAATAAATTCTTTGACAAGTTTAATAGAAATCTCGTCATATCATGTACTTTTTTATTAGGCGGTATTTTCACTTTTTTAATCTCTTCTCCTGTTACTGGTACGAAAAACATTGTTGATTTGACATTGCATTACATTTCCGCTGCCTGAGATGCCACCATTGAATTGCCTCTTGATTTTCTTGTCTACAATAGGTGATGAGAGAATAAATATTTCGGAATGGAATCTCGAAATACAGTAGGTACATTGGGAATTCCTGCCGAAAAAAACTACTTTTCCGGCTAATAAAGGGGTTAGTCATTGCGAGGTATCTTGCATAAATTTCTGTCAGATATAATCCAATTTCCAGCGTGGTATTAGCCGGAGAAATAGTTGTTTTTCGACAGACACTTACCAGAACCTATCGTGTAGGTACATTGTGAGAGATGAATATCTCGACAGACTCCAAACTCACATATACCTAGATAGGAATCTAGGTTTATGCATCATCGTATCCAACAACATGAAGTTGAAAATCAGGTGGCATCAAGTTATTCTATACTCTGTCCATCTAAGCAACAGATTATCATACATAATGCACGTGATCTCCCAGACAAGGCTGCTTTTAAAGAGTCACACTAAGGAACGATCGTAGTTTTTTTTTCATAATATGCGGTTGGGTATAGGAAATTTTTTTAGGTGGAGTGTAGAGACACAAATTAGCAGTTTCTTCAGTCGTATCAGTACTTAACATTTTGAAAATTTTACACTTTAAAATACCGTACATGTATGTACACACTACAGGCGTTAAAACGTAATGACTACTCCGAAATTGTAACAATGAATTCCGCCAGCCGATTGCAGTTAAATCTGATTGGCCAGCGTGAGGAGGTTTGTTTATTTTACCCAATGGATGCAAATATGTGTGGTAATCATGCTTTGATCACGCATCTATCTTTGTTTAGGTTACTTTGAATGAATGAATTAGTTAACTAACTTTATTTTAATCTGTATTTTTTTAAATTTACTTGGCATATTATATTATAAATGGTAATGATTTCTATAATGGTTGACAAATATCCGAAAGTTTTTGCCACTTATAATTTATTACTGATCAAATTATTATGATTCAGTGGTTTACTTTTGGATTCATTCAAGTTTAGATATAAGGCTGTTTTATGAAGTTCCACAATGTTCTACTTTTTATTACCATTTTTTCATTTTTTCCTGACATATCCCATTTTCAACAATCTTTTTAGATTGGTTGTTAATCAAGTTAATCATTTCTACTAGTGATAAAAAAGTAAGGTTGCCCATAATCTAGATTCGTCCGAATCCCTTGATAATGTAAATCAAAGTGTATCAGATACTCATGGTGTTGAATAAACAGAGTCGTTGTATATGAACCAAATCATAAATAGAGCACTAGTCTTGATCATTTCACACACCAACAATACTCGTAAACTCTGCAGGAGATGATAATAATGACTTGATGAAGATAATAATATATAAATACTTACTTTTGATGAATATACAGCTCGCGGGTTAGAAACACCTTTTAAAAGCGAAACATTGAACTCAGCAGGAATATCAGAAAATCCAGGAAGTTTATACGTTCCCGGACCTCTGGTAAAAGTATCACCTTTAGGGGAGTAAACCATTTCTTCCAGAACGAATAGTCCGTAACCTTGGACAAATGCACCTTCAATTTGGCCAATATCGATTGCGGGATTCAAACTTTCTCCTGAAAAAAAAACTGTGGTTATGAAGACAAAAACATATTTATTTTACTGATTAAAATCTGGGCTGGAAGGTGGTGGTCGAATGAAAGTACCAAACGTTTTGCCTGCTAATGCGCCAGACATCATCAATGTTATTTGCGTTGATTGTGAGAACGACGGTTATATCTCGAAGTATCAGCAACGACTGGCTATTCTAGTTTTACTTGAGTAGATAAATATATAATATAATAACGATTAACTTTCTCTAGGCCTTCAATGTGATATCTAAGGAAAATAATGAATATGCTCGCACTCCTTTGTGTATTAATTCTATTTATGCAATAGAATCACTCTCATTCAATTTGAGAATGCATATTGTAACAGTGTATTGTGTTTTTGTAGCTCCATATTCCAATAAATATTTATTTTACTGTGTCGGTGTACTCTTTTGATGCTCTATGATGTCGTTAAACAATTTTCGTCCAGTTTTGCTCTACGAATTCAAATTGAACCAAAGTGCTACCGAAATTGTCCGAAAAATTAACCATGCAGGCATTTGGCAATGATAGTTGGTTTGCGAAACTTTTTTCCGGAGATTTTAGCCTCGAAAATGAGCCCCGAAGTGGCTCAGAACAATACAAATACTGCGTTTTTTCTGATTCATGCTAAGAATTGTACGTTGAAAGATTAGACCTCGTCAAATCTTAGTTCACACATGTTCACATTAGACAATTATTGATCGTGAAGGAGCGACAGCTGGTTTGGAGAAACCCTTTTCAAAACCCGTTTTCTTGAAATAACTTGCTTGAAACACATAAAATATGTATATCTTGAATGAGCTTGAAATAAATAACCTATTATTGCACTCAAGGCCATTTTCTATGTTGTGTATTTCGTTTATGGTGTGGTCAATAGGATTATTATCACAATTCTTAGTTTTTCATAAACTACACCTCACGATTTGATCTCCACAAATATTTGTGGTATTTGTGAAGATCAAATCTTGAGGTGTAGTTTATGAAATTACTATAGATCTTCAATCGAGTAACGGCCAAATCAATCAGAAAAAAAATCTTAGAATTAGGAAATGAATTAAGTAGATAGGTGGACCTCAAATTTCTTTTTGGAATATTGAAATGGACATTTCATAGAATTTTAGTTGAAAAAATTAAGTAGTTGTAGTTTGTATTTGAAAATTGAATCAGAATTTTCTTTTCTCCGCAAAACACTAAGATTGAGTATGAAATCGAAATTTTGTTTTTTCCATAGAACACTAAGATCTATATTTTCGAAAATATTAGTATTATCAGGGATAATATCAATATTTATTTTCTAGAGTAACAATATGATTATCTAAAATGCGGCCTTTATCACAACATGGCTCAAGTGTTCTGAAAATCGAAGTTGTTCTTAAAAAAACAACATCAGAACTCTTAGAATATTAATGGTCATTGATCGATTATGTAGTTTCATATTTTTTTTGTAAAATCTAATAAAACAGAACTTTTCATTATTCAGTCTGCAGTCATGTAAAATTGTAAATTGAGGTCAGGTCATGAAAAGTCTCACGTAATATTTTACGAACAGTTGAGAAAGGAATTTCGGACAAATCTGATGTTGCTTGTAATAGTTTGTTTCCCTCGAAACCAAACTTAAGATGTATATTCTTATATACGTTGAAACATACTCTCTGTGTTTCAATATTCAAATGCATCCGAATCTTATTCACTGGAATCTCTTTTTCGCATTGTTCACCATCGCTATTGGAATCACTACACAGAAAAAAGTCAACGTTGTTATCACACTCGTTATTACTATTATAGGTATTTGTCCAAAGACGCCACATTTTAAACAGATAACAAAAATTTCAAGTAATTATAACTGCACCAATATCGAATTTCAACACTCAAATCGTGATCAGTTCCTGAACTGAACATTGACAACACGACGGCTCGCATTCTATTCGTCACCGTAACATAACTTCAAATTTAATTTTATGACTCTTCAGCCAATCATAAAACTCGGTTAGTAAAAATCATCCAATACGAACCGCCAATTTTTTAGTCCACGTGGACTAGTTGGCAACGGCTTCATTTCTCTGTATTGGTTTTTTTGGCCTTTGAGAGCACCGACATTTTGAGCACAGTATACTTATTTACTTACAGTAGTCCCACTTAGCGTCAGTACCTTTGATGTTGGTGTCCAGGAGTTTCAGTTTTTACAATGCTGACGTATTTGACACTAATGACATTTCTCCCTACTACAATCTCAACCAAAGCGTCTGTTCAACATAACAACTATTCACATAAACTGCTCAAAAAAATACAGTCGATGAAAACCATGTTGGCCACCTGAGAAAATTGTACAAATGATAATTTTGCATTTGTGTAACATTCAAGTAACCCAAGTTACGTGGTCATAGTTCCCACGACACCGCCATTCACACGGAGATTCAGCTGAGTAAGAGATATTCCAGGAATCCCTTATCTCGACATGCAGTTAGCATCCAGTTAACATTATATTAATTATCATCTCGTAAGAGACAGTCGTTTCTAGTTTGTAAAATAAATCCTTTTCAAAAAGTTATTTTCTCGTTCCAATCATTTAATTGGCGCAGTCGGTAGGATTTGTGCAGCGTGAAAACGAACTTTTTGCGACGTGGAGTTTCAACCCCTTCAGCACAAATTCAACAAGAATCCTTCGTAGACCACCCAGAACGAGCGGACAAGGAGACGACAGAGCCCCAGGGAAGCTGCAAGGAATTAACGGACAAGGAACTGGAACTTACAAGTAAGTGCCAAATATTTCCTTCTTGCCTTCACGAACCCTCTGTATACGGACTTCGGCGAAGATATATAGTATCGTTCATTGCGAACAAATTGTTGTCTATTCAAGACGAGTAATTTTAAGTAACTATTAGGGATCCAGAATCCTTCACCAACCCTCTGTATAAGGACTTCGGCGAAGATATATAGTATCGTTCATTGCGAACAAATTGTTGTCTATTCTATTTATTGAGAAAAACAATTATTTATTTATGAGTGAAATTGAAAATATTTTATCACGATTGAATAGTTTATCATTTCAAGAAAGTTCAGCAAATAATACTGAAAATTTTGATAATACTTTTCAACCTACAATGATTCCACCAGTTCCGCCCCAACCAACTCAAATAAATTGGAACCTTTTCAAATCTAGAATAAACAATTCAAAAACTTTTGATGGTGATAGCAATACATTGAACAAATTTATCACTAGATGCGATGCTATAGTTAACACGTACAATGTGTTTAAAGATGCTTCACTTAATGAACACGTTCTTGAATGTATTCAAGAAAAATTGACAGGTAAAGCCGAGTATATGGTTGGTAACAGAACCGAACTTAATACTTGGGACGCCTCAAAATCTGCTCTGAAACAATGTTTTTCGGATAGGAGAGATTTGGACTGTTTAGTTCAAGAATTAACTAGAAGTCGACCCTATAGGGGAGAAGACCTAATGACTTTCGGTAGTAGAATTCAATTAACCAAAAGTAATGTAGTTCAAAGAGTCAGTAACAACCCAGACTTAACTCCAGAAGAAAAACTTCACCAAACAACTCACTACGATAAAGTAGCCCTCAGTACTTTCATTGCTGGTTGTCCTGGTATTTTAAGAAATAATATGCATCTTAAAAAGCCGGCCTCACTGGAAGATGCCATGGCATACGTAAACGAAGTTCTTACATTTTTCCACCTTTATCCTATCATCCAAAATCACAGTATTTTTATACCAAAATACCCATATTTGGCACGAGCAAACCACAATATCCAGTTCGAAGACAGTCCATGCCCAGTATTAGAGAAAACGTATTATTGTCCAGAAGATTACTTTTCCGAAGACCAATGCACATCCCACCTGATCGAAGGCAAAGTCGCCGATAATTGTCAACCTCTTCTAATCAATGTGGCAGAGTCGATTTTCGAACAAATCACTCAAAAAGAAATCCTGGTAATTCCGATACAGAGCGAAAGAATATTTTCCAAGTGTAAAACCGATCAATATTTGGAAATAAAAGCGCCCACCCTAGTCAAGATCCCGAAAAATTGCCAAATTGAAGTGAGAAACAAGATTTTCACCAACGTGAAATTAGGGAACAGGCAAGCCACTGATCTTACCTAAAATTGAAATGAAAAATATCGAGAAGTCAACAATATATGAAACACAAAATTTCTCGAGACTAAATTTTGAAGAACTCTACGAAATCAACAATATAGTGGACCGATTGAAACCAATCCACAAATTTAACAACTCCGAAAATAACACTACCATTTTTGGCGTTTTTGCAGGAGTTACTATCACAATAATTGTCCTGATATTGGCACTTTTAAGAAAAATTGGATTAAAACCCGTATACTGGGATGTTGTTGCTTCAAAACACCCCAAAAAGAAGAAAATACCAATGACGAAGATATGGTTCCAAGCCACCAAAATAATTCCATTATTTTTTCGGCCTAAGGAGGGAGGAGTTACGTGGTCATATTTCCCACGACACGGCCATTCACACGGAGATTCAGCTGAGTAAGAGATATTCCAGGAATCCCTTATCTTGACATGCAGTTAGCATCCAGTTAACATTATATTAATTATCATTCTGTTTGTAGCTCTCGTAAGAGACAGTCGTCTCTAGTTTGTAAAATAAATCATTTTTAAAAAGTTATTTTCTCGTTCCAATCATTTAATTTCCATATCATTTAGACAATGATAAACTATGTTTCAAGTAGATTTTAAAAATTCATGGGATCAGCAGATGCTCATATTCGGATGTGACAAAATATATTTCCATTTCACAGTGGGTTGGGTGAAACCCATGAAATTCGACAACTATGGAAGGCGTGCGTGCCTGTCTTGAACTCGTCGTTTGCGCAGACCTGAGACTGCAACTCCTGGGTCTGCGTGTAGAAAATTCAAACCAAAAATCACCCGAAGTGGGATTACTGTATATAGTATACTGGGCTTTAAGTATGCACAATACCGGTTACTTCGACACTAACTGAAAAAGCGGTGAATGAGATAAAACTAGAGTCATCTATGTGTTAGGCCCGATACTTTTCAGTCCAGGTAGTAGCAATATTTTTGTTTGGGTGTAGGAAAAGTGGATAGAGTGTTTTCAGTAGACCCGTTTTACGCCAGCGGTTCCTATTCTACCTATTAAGATGAATGTTATGTTAGACAAGATTCTATTGGGAAGAGAAAGCTTATCATACAATATCAATATACATTTTTATTTTCAAATGCTGATTTTTTATATTAGTTGGTGAAGGGATCAAACTTATTTTCGTATATGAACAATTTAGTTTTTGCCAACGATTCGGACTTTATTAAATCCATTATCAGGGCTCTGTAATAAAATGATTTCATAAGAGCCCTGCCCCGATGATGAATTGAATAAAATCCGAAACATTGGCAAATAATTAAATAGTTTATCTGCGAAAAATTTGTTGATCCCTGTTCCAACTAATATATAAAAAAGATCAATTGAAAATATTATACATTCTTATCTTTGGGATGTTATGAAAAGAAATAAGAATCATTGGATATTTATTTCATTACTCACCTAGATCCATAACTATATCCGTTCTGAGAACTTGGTGGTCTCCTGTAAGAGTATCAATTTCAACTTCTGTGCCTGCTACTCCGTAAGTGAAGTAACTAAACATATTTCCCGTTGATGTTTCCCAGTTATAACCCAAATCGGGTGTTTTGTGAAAACCACTGGCCGCTAAACTGACTCTATCAAAATAAGCAGATTTCACCCATTGCTCCCAGGTGCCATTTGGATTTGCATCTTTGTAAGGTCTCAGTCGTTCTTTGAGGATTGTACAGGCCTCCTGAATTAAATCAAAAACAAAATTCTGAATCAAATTTCTGGATCCCTAATTATCATTGAGCCGTTAAAAAAGACTGATATCAAAAGTTTTTTCCTCTTGGCAGCTCTTAATGAATTGACAGTGAATGTTAGTTACTGCCATCATTTTGGGTAAAAACTAAATCTAAATCAAATAGTCACAGAATACTAACCAGTACTGCCATTCCGTTTAAATCTGAACCACTGCTGGCAGCCGTTGGAGATGTGTTAGGCACTTTGTCAGTTGCAGTTTCACTGATATGAATTTTATCAACAGATATTTCCAAAGCCCTACTGGCAACTTGGATCATCTTTGTGTGGAGACCCTGGCCCATTTCAACGCCACCATGAGATATGAGGACCGATCCATCTGTATAAATGAGAACTAGTGCACCTCCTTGATTTAGAAAAGGGGCACTGAAAGCTATTCCAAATTTTGTTGGGATGATACTGATTCCCCTCTTCTTGTAACGATTTTCCCTGAAAATTAAGAATAGTAACTTGAGTACGAGGCGACTTATATTTCTACTTAGTAATCCTAATCTTCCTTCCTCACAAATTGATAGCTTTCAGTAATTCAAATTACAGACACATCACAGGCAAACAAACTCTTGCACATAAAAGTATTTATTAGAACTGCCTCAGATATATTTTCCTGATTTGTTGGGCGTGATATATAGGTTTAGCTGCCTGAACGGACCAAATGCTCGGGTTGTTCTCGCAGCAGATACTATATTCAAGGTTTTTAGTGCAAATAGCCAGACTTTATTCATATCAATTTCCTTTTTTGGGTTTTTGATTTTCTATCGCCTGCCTTTATAGTCTTGGGTAGTAGTACTGATTTCTGTCAAGTATTTGTGTATCTTCAGCTAGTGTATGTTCCGCTACTGCTGATTTGTCGGTATGCTCCAGGGGACTATTTCTCTTGTGTTTCGGATACTTACACTTCTCTCCGATCCACATTTTTTAAGGAGTTCTGTATACCCCTGGTATGGCTGAAGGCCCTCTAAGATCCTTAGCTGACTTTAGACTCTTTCTGATGGTTTTCGTGGGTCTGAATACTGATTTCACATTGTGTTTTTTCAGAACACTTCCAATCCGGTCCGTAACATCCTTCACATAAGGCAGGCAAACTTTTCCATTGACATCCTCATTGGGAGTTGCTTTGGTATTCTCTTTTCTGAGTCATATTGCCGGTTGGAATTTGACTCAACTGCTTCATATTCGAAGCACATTGGTGAAATTTAATGAAAATCATACGGTGAATCAATCTAATTGTAATCTTTGAATAATATTCAAAGTAAGTTTGATTATTTTTTTCATCAAACGTTCGGGGTATGGGGTTCTGACAACTGTAAACCCTGTGGGTACGGTTTTGCTTGGCACGAAAACTATGAATAGCAACAAAAGTTCAATTCCCAAAAAGGCTATTGTTTACATTTTCACTAAACTTCAAGTTAGCGAGGAATTGTAGAATGTAATGGGTTGCAAGGATTAAATCGAGCTCCAAAATGACGAACTTAATTTGTTATTTGGATAGGCAACTCTTTAGATTATTCCCTCATGGAACTTTAGTCTTTCACAAACCAGAGCTTCAGATTCTAGAAGCAGGTGTTCTGCGGTTTCCGGGGTACGGTCGCCATAGCGAATTTCAGGAAGAGACAAGACCCGTTCTCAAGTCTTTTTAATGCAGTCTTTGAAACTAATCAGCTTTCTTCAGCAACATGCAAATGAAACTTTTTGCTGGCCTTCGTCTTAGAACTTCATTCCAGTGGAATACTAATTGAGCAAGTAATCATTGTTGGAATTTCTCCTCTGCGAGGCTTTCCGAGAGTATACGAAAAAGTGCCCTTCAAAAGAAAGAAGTATTTGTTTTTTCCTCGCTAGATTATCAGCTTCCTCATTTCCTTGATTTCACTCTTGACCTGGCACCCACATCAAGGTTACTTAATTTCAGAGTTCTTGGTACTACTTGATTGTTTGATCATAGATCATGACGCCACGTGTGCTTTTCAGGTACAATCCAGAATACATGTTACTATAGCCTTGCAATTCTGCCTAAAATATGAAGGAGTTTGGGAAGATTCAAATAAGTATTTGAGAGGGATGTATTGATTGGATTTATTATATTCCAGAAGTTTAAATTATACCTATTTGTGCAAAACTCAACTTCCTTTATATTAGTCCACCTTGTTCCTCACATGAATTTCATGGATGTGATGAACTCATTTGTCAGATGAATCCAGAATTGACTCCTACTCACCTATTGAATTGTTCCACTTTCTTTCTTCTACCATAGTAATCGAATGACTGCATACATTCTTGCCAACATTTGTCAAGGGTACAATTTATTAATGGTTGATTGAAAGGAGTTGTATCTCCCTCTTTATACAAATTTTTCTCGCTTATGTTTACTGGATCCCTTTTCAAGTAATCTGCAATATGACGAATTATGCATTCAGCCATGAACATTCCCTGTGGTCCACCAAATCCTCTGAAGGCAGTATTGGAAGCCAAGTTAGTTTTACAACAGAAACCTTTCACTCGGCACGCTGGAATTCTGTAAGAATTTTCGAAATGTGTCAGAGCCCTGTCCATAACCTGAAAAATATATTGAAATGAACTGATGATATCGCAAGATTTGATATAATTCGATAATATGGAACAGTTTCAGAATAAATAACTTTTTTATTCATCTCGTTCTCCGTACCTAACCGGATTTAGGGAACAGGGTATTGATAATAAAATATCAAAAAAATATGATATCTGATTGAACAAAATCAACCTAGCCCATGGAATGAACGAAACAATTGGTGCTTAACAGTTATCTGTTGAACACTACTTCAACAGTGTCACTATTTTTCGGGTTTGAAGGCCGTGGATTTTTGAAATATCTTCCTGACGTTTCGCTGGCGAGAGTGGCTAGCTTCTTCAGAGATTCATACATCCTGGGTTTATACAAGTACAGGTAATTTGTCAGTAACATTCATTGACCTTTTTTACCTGTGATCGTGCTGTTCGCTATCCTTGAACTTCTCAGAATGGGATTCCATATTCCATTGAGGTTCACCGCATCTTCTTTTCTGTTGAAATTATCCGTGTGTTTGTGGATCTCTGTTGCCTCCTGTAACAGTCGGCTATGGTATCTCTGGTTAGGGGCAATGAGTTCTGCGTTTTCAATGAGAATCCTAAGGTTTCCTTCACTGAGGGCGTAATCTGCCACAGCCGACCTAGTCTGCTGTATCTTTCATACTCCTTCAGCCTTGTTTCCATAGATCTTTTGGTGGTTCCGATATATACTTTTCCACAAGTGTACGGTATGCGATAAACCCCTGCTGCTGATAGTGGGTCCCTTTTGTCTTTTGCAGACCTGAAGCTCTGTTGTATCTTCCTGGTGAGTTTGAAAACTGTCCAAATGTCGTGTTTTCTGAATAGTTAGTATTGGGTTAGTATTAGTATAGTTAGTATTGAGGAAACACGACATCAAGACAGTTTTCAAACCTACAAGGAAGATACAACAAAGCTTCAGGTTGCGAAATCCTTAATGAATCCTCAAACATTTCTTCAGATTCGTACAAGTTGAGAAAAGTATGCTATTACATCTCAACGCAGATCCACCATCTATCCAAAAAGTTTATCAAAATTAATTTTGAACAGTTATCTTTTACCCACGAAAACCAAATGCCAATTGTCTGAGTTGTACAAACTAGGGATTAACGAGGTCGTACCTTTGATGTGATTTTCCTAGCACAGGAATGAAAATATTATTTTTGATGCATTTCACATTATTGAATGTGAAATCATTAATGATTTATATTCAAAGAGATGAAACACAATAGTTTTAGGTATACATAGAGATATTCAATTGAAAATCTTGGGGTGTAGGATATTTTCTTTGGAACATCAACTCTTTATTTCAACTCAGGTTTCATTATTAGTTTAGTACCCTTATAAATAATTCTGATTTCTTTAGCATTTTTCAAAAGGAGTTTTTGTGAGTGCTCAAAAATGAACTACTCTGATTTCATTTCCGTTTGTGTTAGAACAGATTACATCAAAAGACATGGTTACCATTAATTTTTGAATATACCACGAATACATTACTTTTACCCTAAATGAAATAAGTAAAAAAAATATGTCGAACAGTTTCATTGAAAAAAAGATTTTTAATGATTCAGGTAATGTACTAAAAACTAAAAAATAATTCGTAAGGTCCTAGGTAGCAGTCATCACATTACTCTCCTGAGTAAATTTATAAATACTACGCCCAACGATTTTATAATTTTTTCATCTGATCAATACCATATATTGCTAGGGAGAGCGGTGTGATGACGGCTACCTAGGACCTTCCCAATTATTTTGTAGTTTTTAGAACATTATCTACATCATTGTTATTATTTTTTTTCAATAAAACCGTTCAACATAAATTTTATTTTTTACTAATTTAATTTTCAAGTTTTCTGTTAGTAATGTTGTTACTCAATTATTCTGTTTAGTTCATTAGGTGCCTCAGTATTACAAGGTAATATGTAATCCGCCATTTTGTAGCTGCGACCATCTTGAATTTGCGCCTTTTTCAAAGTGTACTACTATTCTATTAGTCAAGCCTTGTCATTTGATACCCATATTAAGATAGTTGTGGAAAAATATGTTATTCAAAATTTTATAGCTGCCACCCACTTGGATTCACAAGGATACAGAATTTATTAAATTGTATTGTCATCAAAACTAAATGTTTGTACGAATTATCAAATCAATCTGTCAATAGGAAGGGGGTCAAACTTGACCCAAACAAACAAACTAAAAGGGCAAGCTACATGAAACTGTTCAAACAGTCCAACTCTATTTCAAAAGGTCGGAGAAAAGCAGGTAAACATATTTTTGTAGCAATGCAAAATCGATGTAACAAATGTCTTTAGCTATTTCACAATAGATATCATCAGTTATTCGGGAAATAGTTTATGAAAAGGATTTGAGTAAGTAGGATTTCACTCAATTGGAACTGGTGTAGAAATAGACCATTCTGTCAATTTTTTGAACATCCACAGACAGTATAAACTTTTGTCCTTAGCGAAATGAAAACATAGACATGAGAAACATAAAAAATAATAAAATTTCCCTTTCCTTTGTGGAATGCCGAAGACAAAGTCCACCATCGAAACTGTAATTCAATAAAAGTATTTTCATCTTCCTCAGAATTAGTTGTCTTTATCCAGGGTTTAGGACCTCGTCTGTATATATTCATGTATAAATGTATTTTTCTGTTACAATGCTGTATAACCTAGAGGATGGAGGATAAAAAATGTTGAAAATGCATTTTGTTACAGCTGTTTCCACGAATGTTTGTGGATCATATACTTACTGAAAATGAAAGATCCGCAGAGTAGCCACAATTACTGTACAGTTCGGCTTCACAACCCAGAATATTTCCGTCATCATCAAATCCCACTTTGTATTTGAAATAAAACGGATGCCTGGTACCAGTCATGAGAATATCCTCGTCTCTATCCAGCATACATCTGAGCGGCCTGTTGAGTTTTCTTGCAGCTACGGCCATTGGTAAAACGAGTAAACTTCCTTTAGACTCTTTACCACCGAAGCCCCCACCTAATCTCTTCGCTTTGGTTATTATTTTATTTTGTGGAACACCAATCACTTCAGCCACCAATTTCTGAAAGTGAATTCATTAATTATCGTGAAAAAGAGCTCTGGGAACCTGAACCTACCGATATTTCAGTTGGATTTTGAGTGGAAGAAAAAATTTCCATTTCGTCATCTTCAGGTTTGGGTATTACAATACAACCTTGAGTTTCCATGTAGAAGTGTTCTTGCCCTCCTAGTTTACATTCACCTTCAAGTACATGTGGGGCCGCTCTCAATGCCTGTTCGATATCACCTTTTACCAATACGTGAGAGAAGTCATAGAAGGACTTATATTTTATTGCGTCATATATACTTATTATAACAGGTTCTAATTCTTCGTAGGTCACCCTGACTTTTTTAGCAGCTCTTTGAGCAACTACTTGGTTTTCCGCAACAATCATACCAACGATCTGCCCTTGAGCTGTTACTTTGTTAGAATAAAATACTTCTTCATCATGTATGATCGTTCCCCAAGTGCATCCTTTCTTGACGTCTTTATCTGAGAAAAAACCAATGACTCCTTCCATAGACAGTGCCTCAGACTCGTCTATTTTAAGAATATTGGCGTGTGCTTTGGTGCTCAAAACAAAAGCACAGTAGAGCTCACCTTCTTGATGAGGAATATCATCACAGTAAACTGCTTCTCCAGTGGCCTGTTTGTAGGCTGACATATGCACTATTGGTCTCTGCAGTGAATCCACTTTTTTATCCAAGTCGGGAGATATGTTGTAGTACTGGGAACTTTTGAATTCGGGACTAGTGTATCCATGTATACCACTCAGTTCTTTCTCATCTAATTTTATGTCAGGTACATATTTTTGTATTTTTTGTGAAATTGCAAGAAACGTTCTGAAAAATAAGCTCAAAGTGAGAGACCTCCTGTATTGAATCATGCCACCAGGGGCACCAGGGTCCAAAGGTAAATCTTCCAATAAACTGGTGAGGGCTAACTCCAAAGTTTTTTTGTTCCAAGGCAAACCTTTTAATTTTGTTTGAGTTTTGGGTGCCGATACCGTTTTGAAAGACATACCGCCGAATCCAAAACTGATATCATAGATTATGCTAGATTTTGGTTCAAAAGTGACGTTAACTGCTTCCGTCACTATGGCTATATCATCTTCCCTTCTGCGAGCTTGTTTATATGCCTGAAAGTACTGGTCTTCCCCCGTAAATGGAAGGAGAATAGAAACCAATATTTCATCTGCATTTACGATATTTTTTCTATAACCGACAAAGAAATTATTGTCTAAAATAACTTTTCTTGTGCCATTTGCTTCACTCCTAAGTTCAAGTTCTGCCTTAGCTGCCATGAGAATTGGAATCATGTCTGAGATAGGACTACCAGTCATAATATTACTACCCAGCGCTCCAACACTTCGAATTTGCTTACCAGCAAACCAATTGAGCATTTTCACAGCAGCGTCAAAAATTCTTGTTTTATGCTCAGGATGTAGTTCAATTTGCTTCCTGAGAAAACATTCGATTTCAACTAGAGTCGCCGATGCCCCAATTTGTATACCTTTCTCTACCTCCTGAATCTGGGTCAACTCGTTTATAAGTACTGGGTGTATCAGGATAGGGTAAACCATCTGTTTGAATTTCACTTCCACTCCAATTTCTGTATTTCCAACAACGATTTTTGAATCTGGGAATTTGTGTTTGAGTTTTAAAAGTTCAATCACAGTAGTTGGGCGGTACCAAGTTACCCTCTTTCCCTTGATAACTAAGTATTGATTATCATATTTGTTAGATATCCTGAGTTCTGGGGGGAAAAGTGGTTCTTGTGATGGATGGTAGGGAATAAATTGGTCAGAGTGGAATAATGCATCTCCAGATGTCTCATTTTTTGAATGATCAGTTCCATTCTGTATCCTACAGCATTTATCGCCCATTCCGCAAATTGTGTTATTTTGGGAATATTTATTTCCGTTCTGGATATTTTCCCATTCTTCTGTGAAAGTTTTGTACCCTTCTATTATTGGCCTGTAACCAGTACACCTACAAAGGTTACCTTGGAAGGCTACCTCAATGTCTTTCATCGTTGGTTTTGGTGAGTTCCTCAACAGAGTATACATTGACATAACGATGCCTGGGGTGCAGAACCCACATTGGGAACCGTGAGCTTTGGCGATTCGTTCTTGAACCGGGTGAAGTCTACTCTTAGTCGATCCTATACCTTCCACTGTGGTTACTGCTAGTCCATGTAAAGAACATACTGGAGCTAGACAGGCATTGACTGGTAGATGTCTGTATATTTTATGTTAAAGATAATCTACTTCATAGTTTTTCTGACTTAGTTTTGGGATAATTGAAAGATTATACTGATTTCATGTCACCTGTTTTGAATAGTTAGTTTCCTAAATAACTTTTTTCAAATGAATATATATAATTTCAAAGTAAGTGAATACAAATTATCATTTAATTACTTACTGTACGTTTAAATCGAATACATTGAAAGCTAGATGATACCAGAGTCCAAAATTATAACGACAACAGAAGATTTATAAGTGAGAATGGAGTAAATGGACATCTCTCCTTATGGGATGCCATCTATGGGATCAATAGAAAACTAAAATCTTACTTATACAAAATAAAGAATGAGGGGCTATCGGGGCAAAGGTTTTCTTTCACTAGCGACATATATGTCACATTAGCTACAAGCTAATATATATGTCATATTAGCTACAAGCTAATGTGACATATACGTCGCTAGTACAAAAAACGTATGCTTTTAATTAATGATAATGACCTTAGTAGATATTGTGTTTTGTTGGCCATCTGTTGCCTTAAGCTTGTCGCCCACTTGTTCGGCATAGCACAGCACGGCCCGTCCCGTCAAAATACATAATATAGTATTGAAACAATGAAAATGAATGGACAACCGCCCACTAGCCCGGCACGGCACAGCCTAGAGCTTCCGCCGCCGGAAAGGATTTCAGCTCTCTGAAGCTTGTCGCTCACTTGTCCGGCACAGCATCGCCCACTTGTCCAACTACAACCAGCATACTGAAGGTGCTGTTTGTTCGATTTCAAGAGAATTTCACTTGAAATGATTCCTCGACCATTTTCATAGGTACTGTCTGACACTGTGCTGTCAACTGATGGAATAAAAAAAAAGAAAGACTGAAACTTCTCAGGCACTTTTGGACTGGATGATGCTGGCTGGCGCTGGCCGGCGACGGACGCTCTTGGCTGTGCCGTGCCGGGCTAGTGGGCGGTTGTCCATTAATTTTCATTGTTCCAATCCTATCCGTATTTTGACGGGACGGGCCGTGCTGTGCTGTGCCGGACAAGTGGGCAATAAGTTTCATCCTGTCCGGCAAATAACGGTACGTGCTTTGACGGACTAGTCAAGTGAGCGCGTAGCCGGCCAGCGCCTGCCAGCATCAACTCGTCCAAACGTGCCTGGGAAGTTTCTGTCTTTATTTCGCTTTTGATTAAGTAGCTCGAAGCCATATTTGTATTTGTTCAATTGTCTTTGTTCAAATAATTTGTTTTTCAGATATGCTATGAATATGTATGATTGTCAGTAAATGAACTGTTGTCTATAGGAGGAGCTGCTGCCTGATAGCTAATGGCCTTTCGATAAATATATACACGATGCGAATATACAGGCTGTATTTTTTAGCTGATACCACTATTGCTATCTCGGAAACGGTAGGTCCTACAAGGACGGTTAAATGGAACAAAAGTTGCCTATTTAGGAATGCAACACACTGGTATTTTCAGATCTATAAAATCATCAACGGTTTCTGAGATATTTGCAAAAAACTAAAAATGACAGATTTTATTTTTTTGCTCTACCGCCTCTATTTTCAATAATATCAACAAATTTTTAATTATAATGACAACGAAAATGTCTAAAACAATATACAGGTTCGTATTTAAAAAACATATATTGAAGATAGAATTCAGTGAACGAAACGTTGCATTGAAAAATGAGTACACCTAGATTATAAAGCACGTAAAATAAAGCAGAGTTTTTTGTCATTTTTTGATATTATTGAAAATGGAGGCGGTAAAGCAAAAAAATAAAATCTGTCATTTTCACTTTCTGCAAATATCTCACAAACGGTTGATGATTTTATGGATATGAAAATACCATTGTGTTGCATCCCTAAAAAGGTAACTTTTGTTTCATTTAACCGTCCTTGTACGACTTACCGTTTCCGAGATAGCAATAGTGGTATCAGCTAAAATAAACTGCCTGTATATATCTGAGCTACGTTCAATTCAGTTCACCATAATCCTTTTGTTTATATTTACTAGTATGCTCATTATAACTATTTTTTCTTTCGGTGAATGACGTATCTGTATGTAAAGGATTACGTAACATTGCATTGAAAATTTTCTAATCGTTGACGTCTTCAAGATATATTATCGTTTTGATTTGAAATTCAAATGATTTGAAACACATTATTTTACAACTGCTATTCTTCCTGAGAAGGATACATTTTTCTCGTAGATAAAATAATAATGTCCATTCTGGATCCACATGGTCATCCTCTATCTGAAATTAGAAAGAAAGGAGAATTAACAGATTGTCGTCAGATTGAATATCTAGCATCTTAGAATTCGAAAAGTCGAAGTGGGGGTCGTTTTCTCTAGTACNTTTCGCTTTTCCATCAGTTGACAGCACGGTGTCGGACGGTACCTATAAAAATAGACGTCTTCTTTCAGGTCGTTGAAAAGATGATGAAACTCTTCCAGATTTGGCGTCTTTTGATTAATGGGATGGACCCACACCCTTTTTTGTGACTATTTTCTTCTACATTCAATAACGTGGCCACGACGACTTCTTCGTCAGAACTGCTAGCGATAGATATGTTTCTGTCACCCCTCGATGTCAACTGAAATTTTCTTGAAATCGAACAAACAGCACCTTCAGTATGCTGGTTGTAGCTGGACAAGTGGACGATGAGCCGTGCCGTGCCGTGCCGGACAAGTGGGCGACAAGCTTTATCGTCCTTTGATAATGTTTACTGCAGTAGTGAACAAAACTTAAAGCATAAAAACATGCAGATCACGGCCAAAAACCTGAAAAATAGTTTCAATACTCTTATCTCCGGCAGTAAAGTTCATGACCATTCTTTAAAACAAGTTTCAGTTTCAACTCTGACTATCATTAATACACTTAGAAATCAACTACCATCTATGGAACCAGTTAAATCTAATGCGGTCATGGGTAACATATTAATGAGAATTCTTCAAGCAATTTTTGAAATGAAGAGGACTCATAATTTGATCCTGGTACATATCATTATAAAAAGTGAATGGTTTATGTAACCATAAAAATTATTCTTAAATGATTGACATTTGATATAAAATATTGTTATTCAATGAATATTATTAATGAAAATCTGCATAATGTTCTCAAAAAGGATACGTAACTTTGTTGGAATTCCTGTCATATTTTGACACCATTACAGTACAAGCGCCACAACCCCCTTCTCCACATCCAAATTTGGTACCACATAAACGCACTAAAATCAGATATTAAGGAAAATATACATGCTCTCGAAAATAGAATAATGAAAGGTCAATATACATATAATTTCTCACTCAAGTAATTCCACAAAATGAAAGTCTGTAACCCTTGGAAATGACCTGTTACTGAAACATCCAATGTCATCTGAAGGTTTCGAGATCTGGCGGTGATGTTTTTTTCTATGTGCCTTGTGTGAATTTTCCGACGGCACCCTGCTATTCACATCTCCAGTAATGAGACTTTTTATGAAGTAAATTTGACAGATATTCTATATTTACTATTTTAAGGTACCCCCCTCCTTTGCAATTCATTAGACAATGTAATAACACAACCAACTTCCCTATCTTGGGTCAGTATTCTTTGATAACTGAATCTCCAGTCAGTTCTGGGTAATTAAATTCTTCAGCTACGTTTAGATTATTGACTTTCTTTTTACACTTTTCCTCAGCAACCGACAATCTTTGAAAATCCTATTTCAGTTTTCGGGTTTGTTGTTTCTCCATCATTACCAGTTCGTAGATTGCAATATAGCACGCAAGAATCTCTTTTAGTTCCGTTTACTTTTCGAAGTGTAAGAGCACTTTATCGGAGGTACAGTTAAAAGTGTCTGTCGTACTGTTCCGACAGGTCATTCTTATTTTTACTTTTTGCCTCATGAAGTATGAAATACTATCGTGTGAAAGAGTCGTCACTGGAATTCAATTCTTTCAATTTGTGATTCAATCCTCATAAATTATTTTCAATGACTCTTCAGTTCTGTATCTGTATCTGTAGAGTAGAGAGGGTGAGTGTAGGCCCACAGCACTTAGGTCACATGTGCCCCATTGTACATCCACCAGAGGAGTTGTCCTCCTAGGTCATCGTCCATCCTGTCCTTTCCAGGAACGTGAACAGGTCACTAGGAGACAGGTGTAGGCAAAGACTCGCCGAACACACACTCTCTTATTGACGATAACTCCGGACACTCGCATAGGACATGCCTGACAGTTTCATCTTCTTGTTCACACATCCTGCATAGAGGTGTGTCCACTAGCTCCATATTATCGAGGTGTTTTCTTAGTTGACAGTGGCCAGTCAGAAATCCTACTGTTGAGCGTAGATTTTCCTGATCCCTATCAGGCTAGCAAGGCGAATCTAGCAAAATTGCAAAAAAAATACATCAATTCGTAGCTAATTAGTTGCCAAAACAACGATTTTGTTGCTCGTGCGGATCCCTAGAAATCGCAAATAATGCAATCATGATATCAAGGCAGCAAGGTAACTCAATAAGTTATATACTTTCCCTGTGATCTTTATAGAATATTCAGTTGCTATTTAGTTACTAAACCTTGGATATAGCGAAAAATTTTTAAATAATTTTTTTTATTTTTCATGATCTTGCTATCCTGAAGATGTTTTTTCCTGGAATTAAATATGTTCTAAATTTGTTGCTCACCAAGAGTAATCTTAAACACATCTTGAGTAACAGCAACAAAATAGTTGAAACCGATCGGCCGATTTTGAATTTTTTTTCTTTTTCCTCGTTCTTGCTATCTTGAAACTGGTTTTCCTTAGAATAAAAAGTGTTTCAAATTTGTTGCTCGCCAGGAGTATACTCAAATACACCTTGAGTATCAGCAACAAAATAATTGAAACCGATCGGCCGATTTTTGAATTCTTTTTCTTTTTCCTCGTTCTTGCTATCTTGATACTGGTTTTCCTTAGAATAAAAAAAGTTTCGAATTTGTTGCTCACTAGGAGTTTACTTAAATACACCTTGAGTATATCCAGGGTCGCCCAGGGTGATCCTGGCAAGATTGCATCCTTTGATTCCATCCCATCTCTTTAGGGATTGAGCATGGGTGTGACGTTTGGCTAGTTCAACAATTGTGTGTTCAGTTATTTAGCGTTTGTTTCTCAAATTAAATAACTTGTCGTACTTCTGATTTCCTCCAAAAATCTATAAAAGATCGAAGTTTGATGCTCAATGAACTTCTTAGGTTTGCGGAGAAAGGTTGGATTTTAGAGTGAATGTATCTTTCAAAATGTCTTTGTTGTTACTCTCTTATCGTACTCCACTAGTTTTATTTTATTTATTTAGAAAAAACCGCATCAGCCGTAGGTATTAGCGGCAAACATATAAAATATATCTAAAACATGCAGTTGTTTACATCACAGTTTAAATAAGATGTTACATTCTTTAAGAAATTCAACAATATTGTTGATATTGGTATTTTGTAAAATTTCACTTAGTTTGGAGGGAATTTTATTGTTCAGTCTCTCAACTGTGAAGAGCGGGCACTCTACCAGAACATGCTTAACAGTCACAAGCACTTCACCCGCGAAACATTTTGGTGGCGGTTCTTTCCTCAATAGATGTGCATGCGTAAGGCGAGTGTGGCCCAGTCTTAATCTGGTAATTATGACTTGATGGAAGCGGTTTCTTGCTTTGTTGTTCCAAGGATATAATGTAGCCTTGATTTCCTTAAGTTTGGAAGGTTTTTGAGACCAGTGATGATTCCACATTTCTACAATTTTGCAATGGAAATAGGATTTGAGATCTATCGGCAATGCTTTCATACTGATATCACATGCTGGATGTTCTACAGCTTCTCTGGCAAGTTTATCGGCTATATCGTTTCCAGAAATCCCAGTATGTGAAGGAACCCATAGGAATGTTACTGTCCTGTTATCTAGTTGTTTCATATCCTCTTTAATCATATTCACCAGTACGTGATGGGTATATATTTTCGACAAAGAAATAAGAGAGTTGAGAGAGTCCGTATTTATCAAAAACTCTTTAACAGGTGTCATTTTAATGAAGGAAATAGCTTTATAGATGGCATAAAGTTCTCCAGTGAGAACAGTGGCAGATTCATGTAAAGAAAATTTACAGGCGTTCTCATTCGTTACGAATGCACATCCTACACCACGAGTTGTTTTTGAGGCGTCAGTGAAGATTTTCTGGTGAAGTGGGTATTCAGATATTATAGTTTGGTAATCAGATTGGATCAGCTGGGGATTTGTGGTTTCTTTGCTCATGGATAGTAGCTGAGTATTTATATTCGGTAAGGGAATACGCCATGGAGGAGTTCTTTTTGAAAGTTTGGATTGGATTTCTGGAAATTCTTGCATCTGTATGAGGTTGAGGGAAAGCATTTTTCGTTCATGAAATGGAATATTTGTTTTTGTAGTGGGAGTGACTGGGACAATGACAGGTTGTCGAGTTTGATGGGCTTGTCGCCTGGCTGCATATAGTGTCAGTTCATGTCTTCTAAGCTTCAAAGGTAACTCTCCAAGTTCACAGAGTAGGCTGTCAACCGGAATTGTAATAAATGCTCCAGAGATGATTCTGAGTGCGTTGTTATGTATTGTATCCAGAGCTTTGAGGGTGCTCGCGGAAGCAGACGAGTAGCATATGTAGCCGTAGTCTAATTTTGACCTTATTAAAGTTCTATATAAAGTCAATAATGTCCTACCATCTGCGCCCACTGTTTATTTGTTAAGCATTTCAACAGGTTTATCCTTTTTTGACACACTGTGACAAGATATTTAATATAGGTTTTTCATGACACTGACTGGTCAAATATCAATCCCAAATATTTTATTTCATTTGTGTATCCTAGTGTTTCATTCTTGAAAGTTGAGGTTGGTGGATTTTGGATTTTATTCGGTCTTTTCGTGAAGATAATACATTTAGTTTTATTGGAAGAAAATTGAAAACCGCTTTTCCTTGACCAGTCTTCTAACTTATTTAATTCCCCTTGCAGAATATTGACCATATTTTGGTCATTAATGGCCACAAGGAATAAAGTGGTGCTGATTACAGAGCCCTGCGGTATCCCATTCTCTACGTATCTTGGTGATGATAATACACCATCCACTTTGATTCGAAAATATCTCTGAGAAAGAAAATTCTCAATAAAAGCTAAAATATTTCCCTGATATCCACAGGATACTAAAGTACTGACAATTTTATGATGCCATGCTATGTTGAATGCCTTACATAGGTCAAGGTATATAGCGATACATTTCTGATTATTTTTGAATGCTTCATTGATATTACTTTCCAGATCAACTAGGTTGTCTGTTGTGGATTTTAGTGGACGGAAGCCAGTTTGTTCACTTATGAGCTGTTTGTTTTCCTTAAGAGTCCAGATAAGTCGCTTATTAATGATTTTCTCAAGCAATTTACATAGGTGACAGGTAAGAGCTATGGGTTGATAAGAATCCACTTTATCAGGATTTTTTCTACTTTCAATATGGGAACTATGTTTTCCAATTTCCAGAGTTTAGGGAATTTGTGTTGTGTCCGGATTTTATTGAAGAAAATGAGAATAAAATCCAGAACTTCTTCCGGTAGGTGTTTGAGGAAACTAGAGGGAATATCGTCAGACCCTGAAGATGTGTCCTTTAGTGATCCGAGAGACTCTAAGAGTTCTGCCATGGATATGGGAGTGTTTATAGGATCTTCGTTAGGAACTATCGGGATACGTTCGTTCTCTTCTACTTCTTTGTAAGCTGAAAAAATCGGATCGTAGTAAGTGTTGGAAGACATATCTCTAAAATAATCGGCTAGTTTTCCAGCAATATCAATTTTGTCTTCGAAAGTTTTCCCGTCTACTTCCAGTGCATTAATCTGAGAATAGGTAGTAATGCCAGATATTTTCCTAACCTTTTTCCAAACTTGATTCATTGGTGTGTTGATGTTAAACGTTTCAACATATTCTGCCAAGAATCTTTTTTTGCTGTGGTAGTTACTCGTTTTGCAATTGCTCTTTTCAATTTTAAGTTTATCAGATTTTCTGTTGTGTTATGGTGTCTGTAAGCATAGAGGGCTTTTTTGCTTTGCTTTATAGCAGTATCACAGTCAAGATTCCACCAAGGTACTATTTTGTCCCTCTGGATGTATTTCGTCCAACCTATCGCCTTAGTAACCGATTCAATCACGATACCATTGAATTGTCGGAGAGTGTTATCAATAGAGCCTTCAGAAGAAATATTCTGCATGTTTATTTTGGCGGTCTCTAACTTCCACTTTGGTT